TTCCGGTATGGCTTTGAGTTCCCTCTGCGAATTCTGTTTTACGTCTTCTATGGATTCAAAACGCGTTCCTCTGAGTGGTAATTTGAGGTTGGGAAACAGGAAAAAGTCACACGGTGCAAGATCAGGTGAATACGGTGGCTGTTCGATGGTATTTATTGAATGTTTGGCCTTAAAATCGTTGATAATGTTGAACAAATTGAGGTGAATCGGAACAAGCCGGGCGTTGACACGTCGCATACACAAATTGTCCACCAAAATCAAACGAGCCATCTCACGACCGATGCCTAGCTCTCGTGCTATCTCTCTAACACTCACATGAGGATTTTTGAACACGATTTCCTTTGCCTTTTCAATGTTTTCGTCGGTGGTAGAGGTCGAAGGTCGTCCAGAACGCGGCATGTCTTCGACGGTCGTACGACAGTCCTGAAAGGCTTTGTACCACTCATAAACTTGAGTTTTCGATAAAACTGATTCCCCATAAGCCTTTTGTAGCATTCGCAACGATTCTGCACACGAAATTTCGTTCGAAAAACAAAATTTGATGCAAACTCTTTGTTCAATATTTTTTTCCATTGTTTTTTTCGCAACGCACTACTGAGGTGAACTGGTTTCAACAGCTGCCGTAAACGAACTCTGACAGATCGCGCTCATTTTTGGCATAGTAATTAAGGACAGTGCTGCCAAACTACATAAACTTAAAATATCGAAAAATATACAGCGCGCGAATTTTAAATGAGAATTTCCGAAAGCTTTTCGGTCACAATGTATACTTTAGAACGCATCTTATACGTAAACTATAAAATTGTCTGAATGATTAATTAACTATCAATCATCTGCTTGCTATCTATGTATGGTTTCAAATTGTAGAACAAAACATATTACCGATTTTGAGATATTACAAGGCAAAATAACATATGATAGTTGATATTGAAATGTAGCTGAAAACATACCCATTTATATTAATATATATTTTATATAATATATATTTATTAATATATCATAAGCATATTATAACTGCATTCACAAACTTTACTTTATTATCGATAGAAGTGAGTTTTAGTGTTTTTCTACTTAGTAACTATAAGATTTAAGTGATCAACAGATCAAACTACTTTATTGTTAAAATATTAAAATATATAAAAAACATTATGGTTCTTTAGACTATAATAGATTTTCTTAATCACAATGCTTTAGTTCTTTAATTTACACATACAGAAATTGTGTTCTTCAGACTTATCGTGAAGTTAAAAAAGCACGTACTTCAGTTAACAGAAATTTTATTTTAAAAGTAATATACTAATAATATGAGAACTATTATTTTTAATTCCAATTTTTTTATTTTTTAATTAGAATCTATATAATGAACTTTAAATTTTTATATTAAAAGCTTTTGATTGATATCAATAAATTTTTTATACCCTTAATAAGAAAGATCTCCACTTATTACTTTACATAGACCGAAAATAGTAAAGACTTACAATTTGGAGTCGAATGGAATGCTTGAATATTAGAAAGAGTTTTAGATAATCAATAATTTCACTAATAATATAAGTCTGAGGTAAAGTTTAATCATTATAATCGACACTATAATCAGTAACTGGTTTTGGACTCCTTCAACATTTCTCTTCACAGATACTGATATGCGACCGATGCTATCTAAGTTACTACCCTAGGCTACTAGCGTCCTATTAAACGCTATCTTTCCATAGCAGCCATGGTCTGCTTCACTGCCGCTTACCATACCTGCTTCAAAAGAAATTACGAACAGCATTTTCTTTCATGAGGTATATTGCCTATATTTTGTGATTATAGAATCACACTTCCTCACATATGAGGCCAGCAAATCCCTAAACTGATAGATATTAAATATCAATACATAATTTCAGGTTCTTGCTTGAGTATATATACCTAATACATAAAAATAATTCTCTAATAAAAATATGCTTTCTGCTTGGTATTTAATACACTCAATACCGAAATAGATATATAAACAATATTTTATACACTGCATTTATATGGAATTCTCGCTGTTTTCGGAAACGTGCCCGAACGCTGAAGTCTTAGTATTGTTATTATTCTATTACAAATCTCTATTCTAATCTCAGTTTAGCATTAATATATACAATTATGTTCAAAAATATAATTTTGTGTTATGATACAGCAAAAAATTATACACTAGTATCGATGATAGTATCGATAAATTATTGAAAAATATACCTAAAGGCATACACCTAAAGATCGATACCGATACCAGATGATCATTTTTAAAAGCAAATACTGAAGCTACACTGAGCTCAATTCAGTATTACGAACAAAATAAAATCATTAAAAATATCAGCCTTACGGATTCAAGAGATGAAAGAGTTTATGCCCGGAAGACATTCATTTCTTCAGACAAGTAAAATAACTGGATTCGAATAATTTATATCTAGTTTTTATGTGAACCAGGTAAAAAAAATATGAGATATTTCTGTGTTTCTTAAATACCCGGTTTCTTGCAATTTCTGCATATTTAGTACTGCTGATCACAGTTGGTGTAAATCTAAAAGAAGCATGTGCATTTAAATCTCGTTTTTTTTTCATAGGAAATTGAAGTATGCAGGCTAGAATACCTAACTTAATAATATACATTTTCTGTAAATACAGTTGGTATACCCGATATGCATATGATAATAATAATAATAAATTAGATTCTTACCACGCTTTCTATACAATCAGTGAAGTTAATCTCGCTATAACCCACACATAAAGTTGTTACTTATGCTTAGGATTTAGAAGCAACAGTATTAATTTGGTTCTCAATTCTTAATTTCCAGAGTCACTCGATAATACCGATGATTAAATGCATCCATATTACGGTATTTCCCTCATTCAGTCTTTTCTCTTACCTTCTCTTCAACATAATATAACAAACTCAACTTTCTTACTAACCTGTCTAATCTAAGTGCCACCTTTAAGAAATCACAAAAACTATTACTGCGTTACAACAGCTTTGGGGAAAACACAACAACAACCAGTGGATTACAGCATTTGCACTCCTATGTCCATTAAACACATATATATATTCAAACTTTTTGTATACGAATGAATATGACACAGCAACAGGCAAAGTCTAATTAATATTACACAAGTACTAGAGAGTTAATGGTTAGACCTCAGTCTTTAGAATTAATATAATTCAGAAATTCTATAAAAGATTATACTCTCAGGGACAACAGGATGCACTTTGCTCGATTGTCAATTTCATACCTTTTGGTGCAACTATAAAATGGCGTACACCTATACATATTTTGTGGTATAGAGACGGCCAGGCCAACTAAAATTAGAAGTACATATCTTAGCGGGTGTTTATTTAACTCCCTACTATATGTATGGTATACATGTATATATATGGTATAATATTCATATTGTAAATATATTTTTGCGGGTATTTATTTAATACTCGACGACTCTAGTGCAACCTTGTTCGGCAAACTTACATTCGATGTTCAACAAAAACAACATATGTGTAACAGTGTAAGAGCGCATCTGCGCCAATTTAGGGGGCCAGCTGTATTGGCCACCCACCCTACGCGCCTTCCTATGGTATACAACAATATTTTATTTAATTTTATCAACACTTCGACAAGCAGCAACATTTGCTTAAACTATGTCACCTCCATTTTAAAATCGCGCTGCCATCTATTATAATTCTTGCGATATTCCAGAATGTTCAGCATTTATCCCTGAATTGAAATATGTATTAGATTACATGTAATGACATTATCAGCGCTAAGATTTTCTCTTTATGTACAGCAATAAAAATTGAGAATATATATATGGGAAATATTTGTAATAGAAAAATAGAAATGCTAATGCCATCACCAAAACACAATATTCCAGCTAAAGACTAAATGCATGGCACAAGCCTAAATAGTATACACAGCTTTGCATGTGAGAAAATCAACACATAAAAATAATTATTAAAACAGTAGCAACGAATTGGCCTACACACCGCAATCAAATCGAAGACATTTCGTGTCTATATAGAAATACGTATATATTTTTATATACTTACAATGGCTCCAACACTATGATCAGCCAACTCTTCAAAGCCTCTGGATTTTTAATGTTCATTTCTTTGATTTTTGATTTTTAGACGCACCCCGTTAACAAACAGTAATTCACGTTAAGGATGGTCTTTGTAAAAGTTTCACTTTTATATATTATTTTAGATATTGTTTTTCTCCGTGGGGTTGTTAAATGCACTGCAGTTTTGCTGTCAAAAAAAAAATTTCATTAATTAAATTTCTTGGAACTGAATTTTTCAACTTATTTGACACACAAAATATTTCTTTATTTCTATAACTATTTGTACCATTTTTCGTCACAGATATATATATTTTTTCAATCCAATTTCAATTCAACTCTGACAATCACAATATTATATCTTAAATTGTTCCTGAAAATTTTAGCCCGACTTTACTTTCCACGAACCTCGCTAGAGAACATCTAAATATCAAGTGTCGTTTATCACATCGCACACGAACAGAATTAACACAGCGAATAAACGAACGAGTAAACTTCTCGGTTGTACTACTCGTTGCAATTTTTTAGTTCGTGCGATATTTCACATTTTTACCTCATGCATGTTTTCACATCTAATTCATTAATTTTATTCTTAAAAAATATTTTATTTTATTCTTTACTCACTTTAACAATAATTTAAATAGCACATTTATATATTAACTCAATATAATTTGTACTATAAATTAAATACGAACACCCAAAAAATTTTCTTCTAATCAAAATAAGTCGAACTGGGTTATAAACTTACCATATGGAAAAATTATTCATTAAAAAAAGTAGTAGAAAATGTATTTCGTGTGATAAGAAAAATAATATATATACGTTCAATATACACCACTAACTTTTTTTAATAACTAATTTGAATATAACAGATATATTTAAATAGATTCAAAATTGTTTCTTCTTTTTTATAATATAAAATATATTTTTTTAATATAAAAAAGGGATGATTCCCAAAACAGTTTTAGTAAATTTGAAACCTATCGCTAACTGAAATAATATATCAAATGAAATTTATAATGAAACTAACTTATCGCAATGTCAACTTTGTTTGATTACAATATTGAAAATATAAAAGAATACAATTCATATTTACATACTCCGCGAGTCACTAATTTTTACCTAAAAAGAGTTTGAGTACTTTTTTAAACTTAAATTTTTAGAGTTAAAAGAAAAAACAATAAGTAGTATTTTTTTAGATTTACTTTTTAATATAATTTCATTAACACCACAAATATTGAATTAATATACATACGTATACAATAAAATTGGTTTCTAGTTTGACATTTTTTCAAACTATTGCAGAAACCATTTCGTTTCGCTTCACTGCTTTTTATTCTTTCACTTGTTTTTTATAAATACCATTCGATATACTTAAACCTAACGCATGATGTAGACGATGCCTACATGTATGCAAACCAAGTATGCCGTGCTACCAACTCGCATTGTGTACATTTAAGTATGCATACGAAATTTCGGTATATGACAAGAATATTTCAAACAAATTTGCGGTTGAATTTTATAAAAAGTTTTTTATATAAATATACATATATAAAATAAATGTCACAATCAAGTTATTGGTGATGTTTTTATAATGTTTAAACTTTTAACATCACTACTTAACGCTAAATAAGCAGTATTTAATTAATTAACTATAATCTAATAAATAAATATAATAAATAATTAATAAATAATTAACTTCTTCACAATTACTAACCTGTCAGTCATTTTCACAAATTTTGTTAAAAAAATAACTTTTCTTCTTTTGGAGTAGCAAACAATATTCGCAACTTACGAAAGAAAACATATGAAGTAACAACGATGCTCTTAAAATGTTCAGAGTTAGGTTTTACGCAGTCTTGAGTTTTGGTATGGCAAATCGAAATTCAGTCTGTTGTGAATTTCTACTGGAAATATGTTGCAAAATTTCAGTTAATCATTAAAATCGCATGAGCATTTTATTTACTAATAATTTCAAATACATAAATAAATATATAAATTTGAATATATAAGATAAAAATTCTTACCATTGCCCTTCTAATACTCATTTTGTTTTCTTTTATTCAAATTAAATTAAATTAAATTTTTAGTGCGCAATTTTTATATGTCATATTGCACACAACATAACAAAAAACTTATGTCAAAAACAAGAATTTGAAATATTTTAAAAGTGATGCCAACTTTTTTCAATCAGACTTCATGCTATTTTACAACTCTGAAAGAAAACATTATGGCTTTTAGTAATATATTTAAATTTACTGGTTAATTTTGTTATCCTTTATAATACGTAGATATATTTGAAAAAATTTCTCAGTTCATTAAAAAATTATATTACATGAAGTTTTAAGCATGAAAAATATAATTTTACTTGCATATTCAATAAAATAGTTTACATACATTCAATAAATTAGTTTTTTCGTATTAATGCTCTCTTATATTTATTTTATCATACTTTTTGATTACATCAAATACATTGTTCCTATATTAAAACAGTTATAAGTATAAAATTTAAAAAAAATTTTTTTTTTGATACAAAATTTTTATTATAATTTGTTAAAGTGAAACTAGTATAAAAAAGGTTATTACATGTAATTGAGTACATATGATCGATTTTCAAATTGAGACTAAAGGCTCAGTTAGACGGTAGGTAACGTAAAGGCTCAGTTAGACGGTAGGTAACGTAAGAAATTAAATCAAAGCGAATTGCACAACCAACCAAACTTGCATACTTGATAGGAATGAAAAAAACAAAAACGGTGAACATTGTTATTCCGTTCCTATCAAATATGCTGGTTTGGTTGGTTGTGCATTTCTCTTTGAATTAATTTCTTACTTTAACTACCGTCTAACTGAGCTTTAAGAAATTAATTCAAAGCGAAATGCACAACTAACCAAACCTGCGTATTTGATAGGAACGAAATAAACAAATACAGTGTACTATGTTATTTCGTTCCTATCAAGCACACAAGTTTGGTTGGTTGTGCATTTCGCTTCAAATTAATTTCTTACGTTATCTACCGTCTAACTGAGCCTTAATACCGTTTTCGATTGTAAATCTGAGGTGGCTTTTTTAATCGAGTTTCAAAGGTTGCTTTCAGCATGTTTCTGGCCAATAGTTGCTTAAATGTACGTAAAAGAACAACAGTACTTTTTCTGTCTACGCAACGCAATAAACGAACAAAACAAAAATTCAAGCAAAATTAAAAAGTTTCACAAATTTGGAAATGAAATATTATAAAAATTTGTAAAATTATGTAAAGAGCGTAAATTTGGCATTTTACTTGTGTTATGCTCTTAATTTATACTTTACTTGTGTTTTACTTGAGTTTTACTACGAGTAGCTCGTGGAACAGACCTAATATTAACATGAATACAACACTTTTTTAGTAGTTCATTTTATTTACTTTATTTTTACTTATATATCTTTGTATATTATTTGGTTCCAACAAAGTAATACATAAATTCAGTGCAACATTTCACTTCAAGAAACAGCTGATGTTTTAGCGAATATTAAGAAAATTATTAGACCTCATGTCAGTACATCGTAATTTTACAAAAACAAATATACACAAAATTGTATGATTTTTCCAAGCTACGGCTTTAATGGCAGAGTTAAGTACGACTTTTGCAAAACATTAAGAGATAAAACATTTTTTCGTTAGTAAGAGTTATACGGTACGATATGTTAGTTATCGTTAAAGTATTACGACGAATAGCATAAAATTAAATTTTTTTATCGATTATGCATTTGTTGTTTAAAGCCTTCTCGTTAATTTAACAGAAAACAACAAGCAAAATATCGATAAAAAGTTCACAAAAACAAATCGCATAGTTTTTTAAATTAAAAACTTATGTGGTACAGTACGACATCTGCAATCATAATTGGATGTCGATACATGACTGATTCGATTTCAGTAATCGAGTTATAGAATTGAGCACAGTATTATAGTATGCTTATACAGATGAGGGATTATGTGATTATCGCATCTAATCTCCTAAAAATTTTAGGAATGTTAGTAAAAATGATTTATCAAACAGACCTATTTAAAGGAGTCCGTAAAAATTTTTATCGTGTCTAGTTAGCAACACAGACGTTGAACCGCTCTAATTTTACTATATAATTAATACAGCTTAATTAATTAATTAATACAGTTTAAGCAAATAAATTATTTTTAATAAGTATCATTTTTAATAATTTAATATATCTATATACATTTTAACAACTTATTAATTGTAGAAAAGTAACCAAAGCATTAATTTATAATTAATTTCCAAACACTACGTCAGCATAAGATTATATATCTTTTTTGCAGTTCTTATGCTGAAGTACGCGCCGTTCTTAAAAACTAATAAATTTAAAATTTATTTATTTAATTCTTAATTTATTTAATTATTTTAATTTCTTTAATTCTTTTTTTGTCTATTGAGAGAATATGACGTCATTCAAAGTGTCTACTGTGGTGAAATCTGTTCTCATCTAATAGAGAAAGTTTTCAGACCAAATCTGTATAATAGGAAGTGTTTTTTTTTTAATAATTAACTTATTAATAAAAACAATCAATTGTTATTTTAATTATTTTTGTGAAACACATAATAATAATGAATTCGCACTAATTACATTGTGTATATCTTATTTTTAAGGTATTTAATTAAATTTTCCATTCATTTAAAGCTCAGTTAGTCTGTATTTACTATAAGAACTTTGATAGGAACGAAACACACAAAAGCGGCCAACTTTATTTATTACGTTCCTATCAATTACATAGGTATGGTTGGTTGTGCATTTCGCTTTGGCTTAAGTTCGCTTAAGTTCTAACGGTACGCACCGACTACCCGAGCCTTTATTTGATTAAACAAGCGGAGTTATATATATATACAAACATTAATTATTGAATTTTAACTTTTTAGTAATTAATATCTAAAGAAAGAATATGTACACAATGCGCCACTTCTCAATCGCTATATCAAATTGCTTACCAACCGTGAACCTCTCATTTTTGTTCCCAACAATTTACTTGATCAAACTAAATCACTGTAGAGAACTTTTTCTATAAAGCTGCATAAACTCACTACAAGCCGGTATAATAACATATGATTATGATCAGTGCAACTTTAAGTATCTAGCATATCCCTAGAATATGGAAGTTAGCTAGCAAATGTGATACAGAACTCTCTTATTATGACACAACAGTTGTGTACTACATGCGAGATTAATCGTATAGAAACAGCATATTTTTGCTATAAAAAAAGAGGAACTAAAATGCTCTATCCCATCCACCAGCCACAGATGTCGGTCTGAAAAACCATATCGCCATTAGATAGCTCGAGGGAATGATTTATGCGAGAGCAAAAAGCAATCCTCCACCTACCCCATAATCTATAACATATTAGTAGCTTTCAAAACAAAAGTAAGAGCTTAAACCGTGTGATATCTTTCTACACACATAGTTGGGAACTGAGTCTAGATAAGAACGTAATAGTCCATTAAATAATGTTTTTCTTTATATGCAATTTTGTTCACTTTCGATTGTCGGAACACATATTCATACGAAAGACTTTATATTAATCAGAGTTCGGAATGTGGTGCACAAAATCGCACACTGCACTGTGAGAGTGGAAATTATTTTTAAAATATGCACACGCACATTTGTGGTGTTAAGAAAAAAAATGCACGCACTCAAATTTGTTGTGCGATTTTAAATTTCACATCGCACAAAGCGATGATTGTGCACACAGATTCGTGCACACACATTTGTGCTGTGTGACTGATTTTTAAAAATGTGCACAATCAGATGTGCGAGAAAATTTTATGCTCGCACCGCACTGTGCGACAAAAAATTCTCTTTGCACACGAGTGTGCTGCTCATATTACGTTTGCACAATTGTGCACAAATGTGCGACTGCACAAACGTGCACAAATGTGCACAAATGTGCGATGCACAAACGTGCACAAATGTGCGATTTTGCGCTTGCACCCAAGGGTGGAAAAAATTACAGGAACTTCACAATTTTGTTTGAAATAGAAAATATTATTTTGTTGCAAATTTTGAAAAAATTGATATTTGCGTTCGTTGGGATCGTAATTTATGTTAAAAATTGCATAAATTAACAAATATTTAAAATAATTATTTTTGTTAATTAATGTAAACTAAAAATTATAACTGTCTTAACCTTATTTGTATTTTAACTTAAAATATTAGTTTTTTGTATATTACTTTGTACATTTTTAAATGCAAATATAGTAAGTGAACTTAAAGTATTTGTTTGGAAAGTTTTGCACCAGTTTAAAAAAAATAAAAACATATTTTAGGAAGATTTTTTTATGCCCAAAAAATATGAAAGATTAGGAAAATATTTTTTTTGAACAGGTAGCAGGTATTGGTATTGGTGTATTTGTTTAATAAATTTTGCAACAGTTTAAAAAAGATAATACGGGAGGGCCACAAATAGATATTTTTCTTCTCCAGAAATATGTATTCACATAGGTAGAGTATCTAACATTCATTAAAAAACGCGAAAGATTAAGAAAATATTTTCTTGAACAGGTAGCAGGATTTTAGCGCCCTTTCTACTGTGATAAGTAAGCAGAGATATAATTTAAGTGAAAAAAATATTTCAGCAATGTTATTAATAAGATTAAATGAAAATTTATTTCAAAAAAAGTTGTAATAAAAATTATATATTTTATAATAAGAAATTAAGATATTAAATTATAAAATTATTTCAATAACTTTGTTAAATTTAAGCTGTAATTAAAGATAAAAAATTAATTGAAATCTAATAACAAAATTAATTCATGTTGTTGTAAAAAATATTTAATTTGCTTTTTATAACCTTACTAACGAATCTTAGTGTACAACTTACTATTAAATAAAATTTTATGAAGTAGTCCAAAATTGATATATTTAATTTTTTCAAAGTACGATCCGTAGAACCGATCCTCTTTACTTATAACATTTCGAAACAAATACTCTTTCTCTATTAAATTCATGTACCTATTTAATATAACAAAGTTTTCAAGTACATTGTGAAATTAACTTTATTCCCATGTTTTAAATTAATAAACCTTAAAATAATAAGTAATATAAGCAATAAATGTAAATCTAATAATAAATTCAAAATTAAAATATAAATACAAAATTATTTCTTCAATAAAATATTTCGCATTAAGACCAAAATTAATACAAATCAGTTTTCCGTACTATTTTGCTGCGATATTTGTCATAATATTGTGCGCTTTTAAATCATCATTTCACACAAACGTGCAGTAGACATTTCGTCTCCGCACATTTGGGTGCATTTTTATTTTCGAGCCTGCACACAAAATGTGCTTCTCGTATTCTTTTCTGCACACGTTGTGTGCGAGGGCATGTTGGCTGCCGCACACACAATGTGCTGTGCGAAATAACTTCGGCACAAACACCGAATGCGTGTGCGAGTTTTATTTCACTCCACCACACTCGTGTGAAATGTGCGTTTCGTTTGTGCACACAAGATGTGCACTTAAGATGTGCACAAAAATTTTCGCACACCACATTTGTGGTGTGAAATTTTAGAATCGCACAACATTTGTGCGTGGTGTTTTGCATTTTTGTGCACAGCACAGTGTTTTTCTGAACCCTGATATTAATTACTGTTCGGAAAGCAATTGTAAAAAAATCCTTAAAATTTTTTTTATTTTTCTATATTACTTTATTTCGTGTTAAATGAGTTCAATAGGTTCAATCTATATTCCCTGATTTATTCTTACAATACTGTTTTAAAACATATATATATATATATATATATATATATATATATATATATAATATATAAAAAAGATCTTTACTTAAAGAGTTGTAATATACAGAAAATATCTATTTAATTATTGTTTAAAAATACAGTTTCAGTATATTGAACTCCAACACTATGATAACTAGTATTGAATTTCAATATAAAAAATTAAATATCTAAATTTAACAAAATCTTTTGTTTTTCTATCTTATAAACCCTTATAAACAAATCCACAATTAAAATTATAAATTGCTTTCTACCATAAGTTTAGAAAAAATAACTTGACAATATCACATATATGGTATTTAGCAAATTAATTTAAATAATAAAAAAAATTATAAATAATTATCACCGATATTCATATAGAAGTGTATATAAATGCAAAAGCATAGCACAACTAATCAATATATATAATAAATTATTAAAAAACTTTTAAGTTAACTTAAAACTACTTAACAATATAGAAAAATTTCTTTTTTTTATTTTAAAGTTTAGGTTCACTTAATTTCACTTTGAGGGGACTCAAGTGTTCATCGATTGGTGGTATGTTTAATTCGACTTGTATGTCAAATATATCGAATAATAATACTAAGCGATGTGACCGCTGTGTAACTTTTCGGAACTGGTCTAATGAGCCATCAAAAGTAATTGTTTCCTTAATGAGAGTCGGCATAACGTGATAAAAATCATCACCTGTAACGATTGAATATTTTATATAACAAGTGATAGCTTACATTCTTGAAACATTGCATACATACCAGATAGCGTGGCAACTAGTCCCTCTTTGCAACGGTAATAAAGTGGCATAAGTAAAGTTGAGCCTTTTTTAGAACGTCCAATCGTGAAACGTAGCAAATGTGACCAGTTAAAGATGTTGGTTAAACGCGATATCTCGTAGTACTGTATGTAAGGTAACCAAATCGTACGTTTCGTGAAGTATTGCAAAGAATCAAATGGTGTAAGCCACTTCAAATAGAAGTAAATTAAATATTAAAATTGATTTTAATAAATATAATGATAGTATTCCATTATAAAAACTCTACTTAACCTTATATATTTAAATTTAATTAATTTAAGAGAAATTCCTTTTTCATCTAACATTGCAAAACGTTATGAACTGCTTAATGAATTAGATGTCATAAATATCAGAAAATATGTGAATAAGGTAGACGAAACGGGTTAACACTTAATAATTGAAGCAATGCATGCAAAAAGGGTAATTATATATATTATACTATATTATATTTTAATATTGAAAAAGAAGGTAGTTAAAGCAGTCATTCGATAAATTTCAGAAAAAAATATTAAACAATACATTTAATAAGTCTTTTTTCTTTCCCTTCTTCTTCTGTTCAAATATATGACGTTGATCACTTCAATTACATTTTAAGAATATTTCTCTAAATTATACTAGAAGTATTTACAATATATTACATACCAACTTCTCTTGAACTTCAGTAGGTTCTAATAACAAATTAGGCAACTGATCTAATCCAACAAAATAGAAAACAGTATCAAACCTACAAAAATCATATAAAATGTTAAATATTTTAAACTGATCCATAGAAATGTGATTGTATATATAATATAAGTAGTTACTTTCTAGGTGAAGTCATCGGGCTGCGCCAGACTGACCATTCATATAAACACCACAAGTCTGGTACCACTTGCAGTTTCTTACATAGTTGAATAAATTGTTTAGCATCGTTGTGTATAAGATTTTGCCAATACACACGATCAAAATCTTCATTAAACAACGCACAGCCATTAGTATCAGCATTTAGTGTACGTTTATCACGACAAAGTAAAATGCCAACTTCCTCAAATGCTTCACGAATGGCAGTTATACGTAGAGATATATCACGTGAAAAATGTATGCCACCTGTCATTAAAGGACTAGGTCTGTTAGTAGTACTGGGATCAATAATAAGTTCTTGTAGCTTTGCATCTGTAATACCAAACTCTTGAAAGTAATCAAGCCAGTCAGTGGATTCATCGGCTGTAATTTCAAAGCTGCCGCCTGGAAACACGCAGTGATCAGGTGCATATGCAGTTTCAGGTGTACGTTTAAAGAGCAATACCTGTAGCGATTAAATTATAAGCAATATATGCGCACAAGTTCATAAGTAAATATGTAAATTTTACCTTGTAGTCGTAGTGCTTAGATGTGCCATCATCACATTTAGCAACAATAATAGTACTGGCAGAAGGACGAAATTCAGAACCGGGATCCATAGTTTAATTTATTCTATGCTCAGCTATTTTAGCGTTCTTAAGTACTTATATGCATTTGTTAATAATGATCAAAACTCTCTAACCTAAATATCATTTATAAACTTTGTACTTTGAACAATTGTTTACAAAAGCAACGAATATTATTTATCGATGTACGATGTGCGTGAAGATAGTGTCGACGATTATTCCAAAATGGAATTGGAACATTTTTCGCCGCATCTGAAATGCAATATACTATAACTAAGGAAAAATTTATTATTTTAATAAAATGAATGCGGTAAAAAGCATTTTTAAGTAGAATACTGAAATTATTTTATTATCTCTGTCTAACTTTTATGTGTAAATCATGCAGTTTGCCTAAAAAATTAAAAATAAAAATCTGCCACAAAAGATGGAGTCACTAATAGCTCATATTAAAAAGGATAAAATTAACCTTCATAATGTATAAATGTGTACAAATTGTTTGATTAATATAAAAGCAGTGCTGCGAAGAAGGAAGATATGTCATTTTTAAGTACTAATCAATTAAAACTTTATTACTTAATCAAAAATTATGAAATAAAAAGCACATAACAGTATAAAAGATGTTTTTTATTCTATATATACTAGAAGTTTAGAAGAAAATAGCACAAACTTGAAGTTTGACACTCGATAACTCGTAAGTTAATCGAACAAGTTATAGATATGAATACATAATATGAAAGCTTGAAGTCTCTTCCTTCAATTAAGCTAATAAAAAAATGATATTTACTTTTAAAGTTATAATTAATTTCGTAATATAAACTTTTTTAGAAAATAACATTTTCCGGCGAAAAATGTTCCAATTCCATTTTGGACTTAGCGTCGAGACTATCTTTACGCACACACATATTTATCAGCTTTTTCTTACTTATCGATCACTTGCTCATGTTATCGAGAGCAACAGCTGTGAGCCAAATTTCCAAAACAGCTGTTTCGTAGCAGAAAACAGCACGGGGTAAGTTGCTACGTTGTTTTTGTACTTTAGTTTTGTTGTGCAATTTTAGTTTAAAAATTTTTGCTGCTTTATTGTTTTTTTTTAAAAATGTCAAAAATACGTAACTCTGCTAGTTTAATTTTGCTGGCAAAAGATAAAAGCCAACCCAGCAATTGTTTTAATTACAAAGTAATTATTTAGCGTGAAAATCCATAGCAATCTAAATAATTACTCGTTTGCAGACTTTGCTCTTCAGTCGCCATGAGAAGGCGACATTTATGCCCAACTCTTGTGTGTTCCCTGGTGGTGTACATGAAGCGGCGGACGAGTCACCACTTTGGTTGAAACATTTTGATAAATTTGGTTTACAAAAAGAAAAACTGCAACAACTAAAACCTGCGAATGGAGAACGCCCTAGTATGTTCAAGCCAAGCAATGAAAACTGTTTAGAAAGGTGAGCCTTTAAACATAGAAAATTCTTATTTACTTCGATATATTTTCTATATATTGCAGAGAGATATCTTTACGTATAACTGCAGTGCGTGAAACATTTGAAGAAGTTGGTGTTATGTTGTGCCACAATCAGGACACTATTAAAGATAGCAATGGTTATGGTTATTTTCTAGAAGATTTTGATCGTCAGCACTGGCAACGTTTAGTACATAATGATGCTTCACAATTTATTAAAATGTGCCAAGAATTGAATGTGTTTCCTGACTTGTGGAGTTTACACGAATGGTCTACGTGGCAAACACCTTTAACATTTAAGAAGAGGTAGGTTTTCTGTTTCCAAAATAAATATTTATGACTAAAATATAATGTAGACAACTTTTATATTACATACTTTCCTTATCAAATTAACAAAACTCCAGAAAAATGTACGAACATAAAAGTCAAGTACGGCTTTGGGTCAGTTGGTTAAGGACCACTGACTCCAAGTTTCAAATTTGTCAGGACACGAGTTGGATACCTAGTACTTGCAGTTTAAAAAAAAAAAAAATTATTTACGAATAATTAAATACAAGAATTATTTCCAAGACCACTGATGATGGGTATTTCGTAATACTCGAAACAGCTGTTTCGTCAGTCAAAAATTCAATTAATTAAAATAATATAAAATAAATTTCTGTTGTTGTAATTCACTACTGTTCGAAAAACCTTTTTAGCGGATTTATGTAATATAGTATTAGCAAGTAGAATAGAGGCTGACAAAAGGATTTAAATATATTGAAAGTTTTTAGAATGAAACAACCAAACTTAAGATTTAATATTGGGTTCACACTAGAGTTTAGTTTGTAATTTTAGCTGTCAATTGTTGTTGTTTTTAATACAAAATGAAAATTATGACAGCTATAATTAAAAAACAAAACTTTCGTGTGGATCCAGTATAAGAACGCGATATTCTAGAGAATAATACCACTAGTGTAATTAGAATATACTGATATTTTCTTTCAAATTAATAACAATACATTTTGCCTATTACTTTCAATTTTTAAATTAAAATCTTTTAAGATATATTTTTGTCTTGCAAACGATAAAAATATGAGATAAAAAAAACTCAATTGTGGTAAAAATAATTCTGATATATTTGTTTCGTAATTTAAACACATTTGTTGTAATTACCTTAAATAAGATACAGCAATAGTTGTAGTTTTTCACATAAATCTGTATAATAATGTACCTCGGTTTAATATTTATAAGTGTAAACATAGTTTCAATACAATTAATATTCGTGATATTTTTGTATTTATATTTATAAAATTAATTTTATATAAATAATTATTTAGAGGGATTTTAATAAAGCTTCTTTGTCACCATACAAAGAAAGCGTAGCTTTACAGCAACACGAGTACTTTATTCATAAATAATTATTATTATTGTATATTATATTATTATTATATAAATAATTATTATTATATAAATAATTATTATTATATAAATAATTATTATTAGAGTTGAGGCTCACATGTGATCAGTAGGAAACGATTCATTCTTTTTGAACCAATTTGTTAAGATATTGAAGCTTTCAATCGTTTCAGAATCAGACACATTTGATGTGGATTGGGAACGTTATCTTCACTGTTATTTATCGTATCATTATCAGTATTAAACTCATTTAGATCCGTCTTGAAGTTAAAAACTAAAAACTTGAATTTAAAAACTTGAAAAAAAACAGAAAGGAGAGTTTTAATTTGTGAGCCTCTACTGTATTATATATTATAAATTAAGTTACTACCTTTGTTGGTACATTGCATTTATCTAAAATAAAAAATTTATTAATTAATTATTTACGATATCTAATAACAATATTGATTTATAAAATTTGTTTATTTTTATTTCCAGATTCCAAACAGCCTTTTTTATGGTAGCATTACAAAAGACGCCAGAACTTTTAATCGAAAAAAATGAAGTTGCCCATTATGCGGTATGCTAAATTAACAAACAAATATACTACACTATGTTATATAACATTAACAATTAATTTTTAATTATTTTAGTGGAAATCACCTTTAGAATATCTTAAATCTTATGTCAACAAAGAACTTTATTTACCACCACCTCAATTCTATGAACTGTCACGTTTATTGCATAAAAAAGATATTGAAGAGTTAAGAGATTTTGCATGTCGTAGAGCTGCAAAAGGATCTATTCTGATGTTACCAGTACAATACAGATGTACTGATGGCATTGTGGGACTATTACCCGGAGATGATATGTATCCGAAAGATACAGAGGGAATAAACGATTTTATACCAGTTAAGGCTACCATGCAAGATTTTCGTAGTGGTGCCACTAGATTACATAGATCAGAATTTGTTAATCCAAATAAGGGTACTCTTCTACTTAACTTTCCACTTAAAGATGGTCAGCTTAGTCCAGTATTTACAAGTACATCGTGAAGTACATATATACATGCCACAAAGTCTTTAGTTGCATTTATTTTAATTTTTATTAAAAAAAAATTTTTTATGCTAAGCATATTAAATATGTTAATAAATTGTTGTATTCTACAACATAGATGGTCTAAATTTGATCCATTTTAATTTTTATAATTATTTTAATTTGTTTAATTTTATTTCATTGTTATGCTATAGATAATTTCTTTTTTTATATGCATATTTATTGTATCATCTCTTACAAATGAGACTAACAATAAATTTTTAAATATTAACAATAATTACATCATGCTATTTAATTATAGAATATAAAATAAAATATGTAATCCCCTTTATATAAATCGTATATTACGAGCCTCATTAAAATTACTTTGACCAAATTACACTGGGATATATAATTTTTTAAGGAAAAAAGTGGTACTTTTATTCTGACTATTAGCTGCATGATCTGCTCTTTTTAAACGATAATTACTAGATATATGTTAAGTACAATATTTTTAGCTAACGTATTTACATATGCTGTCAAGGTTTTAATTCCATTTTTTAAAGTTATCAAACTAAGCTTTAACTAGGGGAATTGCAGATGTTAATAGATACTTTTATTTTTAATGTACCATGGTGCGGGGGGTTAATGACTATATTCAGTGCTTTAAATTCTCTTTTGGTGTACTAGCATTATCAAATAGCTGAGTATTTGGCACAAGTTGTTTATAAGGCTATGTAACTTAGACTTCAATATGCTTACATCAATTTAGTCGCCTGGCTAGTTGAATGCCTACGTATGTTATGTTATGCGATTATTCAATCTAAATGTTATTTAATAAAATTCTGGAGACCTACTATGACTTAGGGTAAAAATGACCATTTCTCCACCCTTAATAAATGAATTTAAAGTTGGCTAAAAGGTAACACAGCAACTATGTTTCGGCAAAAAATTGATATGTCATTGGAAAACGCAGTGGTGATAATGAAATCACTTATTGGGATATCAGATGTGTGAAGTGCATAGATGTATTAAACATGCGGTGTGTGAAGTGCAAAGAGGATTTAGATGTATTAAATTTTTAGTAAAAATGTGTCTGTTTACATTTGTGTGGTAAAGTATAAAAATGAGTTTAAAGCGAAACAAATTTCCTTGAAACAAAAGTTAGACATTTTAAAATGTTTTAAATTTAAAGAAAACCTCGCTGACATTGGAAGAAGCTCCTACTACATTAGCTCCTACTACTGTAAGGACTATTTGCAATCGTGATGCGAACAAGATTAAGGACTATGGAAAAGCGGTCACACATTTGCAGGCCAAACAAGTTACAAAAATTAGAAGTCCCCATTATCCGTCTGGTTAGAAAATTAGAATCAAAGAAGAATCCCATCGAGCCAAATGATAATTTAGTATAAGGCTCCGCCGACATGAAAAAAGGTGGTTTTCTATCCGATGCAAGTCTATTGAATTTAATTAAGATTACATAAATGAGAAGACAATACACCGCCTATTTATAAAAGTTTGGCTGTAGGAAAAATTGTCCACTTAAGACGGTTATCCGTCCACTAGCGCTGCTTGTTTTTCAATATATTAAGTTATTTAAATAGTTTACTAACACTATGTCTAGTAACTAGCACTATGCTTGCTTTAATAGGCGTTATAAGCTTAAAATGCTTATTAAAAAAATAATTTTATATATAATGAAAAAATTAACAAATTAGAACTGTTGGAATAGAATTCTTTTTTTATAACAAAAAGGCGAAAAAACTTATATACATTTACATTAATAATTTTACTTTATTCACTTTCCATCTAAATTTATTGTGTACATTTAAAAATACATTTAGTAATATAAATTATATTTAACTATTTATTATTAAATAAAAATATATTGCAAATTGCTGAGCATGGAATTTCTAGGAAATTAGGAAAAGATTCGGTTTCATATTATATTATATATTAATATTTATTTATCTTATTCGGATATTGTGTATAAATACGAACATTTTTATTATTATCTTATAAACTGTAGTTCCTTTAGAAGGTTCCCGATATATAATAAATATTTCTTTAATATAACGTATATATAATGTTTACATATAGACTAAATATAACAAAAATTTTAAATGAAAAGGGGAGGATTCATAGTTTTGACTAATAGTGAAATAGAGTATGAAACTTTTTGTAATTTAGATTAGTTTTTAGTAACAACAATTTTGTACACCAATATTTTAACAATTTTTTTCCATTACTACTATTTAGTAATTTTAATAATATAAATATTATTGTAATAATATGTTATATTATTAATTATAATTATATTATTGTATTTAATTTTTTTTTTTATATAATAACTAATAATATATTACTATTATTATCATGTTGGCTGAATACACATATATAAACTTTATTTTCGTATTTACTTATTTACCGAAATGTCTTTAAAGACGAGGTCTACGGAAGTCTCAAAATATATAATGATTTACAAGTTTTTATTTTATTTAGTATATTATTACGTGTTAAAATATTCACTACGTATTTTAGATGTAAAAATAATTGTTTTAATTGTTTATAATAACTATACTTTACTAGTATGAGTAAAATAAAAAATAGAAGACTATATTGACTTGCGATAAATTACGATAAAATACTATATAATTAAGTTTTATATGATAAAAAAAATTCTTTATACACTTTCAGTATAAAATATTCTAAAATAATCTTAAGATTCCGTACTATCAAGATGTTATCTCTTTAAATTGTTAATATTTTTTTTTTTTACTTAAATCTGAGAAGTCATTCGATAACAATGCGAACTCATTCAATAAAAAATATGTTATTTTATTTAGAATATTTCCATACTGATTGTGTATATTATTGTCTACTACGATTGTATAAATGAATTATTAAATCAAAAATTGTTTTTAACAATATACAAGCTCGCCCATTGAAGTATTCTATTTCGTTATCGCTTCAGAAGCTCTTATTTCCAAACAAAAGTTACTTATAGCATTTCTGTAGACCTCGTCGAGTCAATTGTCACTTTACACATACACATATATATTTTTTTATAATTTACAACTATTTAGTTTTTTGTTTTATATATTTACTTAGTCCATCTAATGCAATTCCATGTAAATAAGACTTAATTATATACTTAATTAGCTTAATTATAAGTTTTTTTGAACTTACACAACTAAAAATTATTATATATTATTTAATAAATACATAAATTGATATATTTATTCAAGTGTTATATGTTAAACATATATATTGTATATATATAGTTACATATATATAGCAATTATAATTAAATATTGCAAATAAAATAATTAAATGCAAGTATTGGTGTTAAGTAGCATTTTAAAGAAACAAATTGAAGCGATTGGCTGTAGTTATGGTTTTTTTCGGGAAGAATACTTTAAGACATTTCTATCAAAATAAAAAATTAATTAATTTTAATATAAGAACTTTCAACTAAAAAAATATTACTACATTTTTTAATTATACTGTATTTATATTTAAAATTGATTGTTAAATTAGCATTTCCTTTTCACTGTATTATTAAATTATACGGTTGTATATGGTAGAAACTAAGGGATTAATATTAAACTAAAAACTATCTTTTTTGCATTTTATCTTATCATAAAGTTAAAGGAAATTATATAGAAAAAAAATTGTGTGATTCACTATAATGAAATAATATCAAGTAATGACCACGCTATATAAATTTTTTCACAGTAGCCAATATTAGGTCTGTTCCACGAGCTACTCATAGTAAAACATGAGTAAAACAGAAGTAAAATTTACACAAAAATACTTGAAAATTTGCTGGTGGAACGCGCTTGTGTATACACAGTGTTTACTCAAAGTTACTATGAGTAGCTCGTGGAACAGACCTATTGATACCTATTGACTATAGACTACCTATTGATTAAGAACAACAGTTATTTTGAAAACAAATCGATAAAAAATATTGTAATACATATATATTTAAAGCTACAGTGAAAACAATACTGACTTTATATATATATATATTTTATAAAGACATATATAAATATATATATTCATACAATGTTATATATATATATATGTACAATTATGTATATAAAATACATAAAATTAAATATATATATAATATAAAAATTTTATCGCAGCCTTACTAATGTATTTGGTGATAATTCCAACAACTTAAACGCGTTCTTACTGTAGTGCCCGGTGTGTTATATTTATAAGGTGAAATAGACAATTATGGTATAGTGCCTGGTATAGAGACCTATTATTATTTGAACTGAATGATTGAAATAAAAATAAAATTGTAATTGATTTTATGTGAAGCATTTCCAAAGGGCTTAAACAAAAATTTGCCTCAAGACACCATGAAACACTAGCTCTGTGCTAATATAGACTACATAAATATTTGGTATAACTAAATCAAACTATATATATTAAAAAACAATATTTTAATACATAAAAAATATATGAATTACGCAGCAAACTGCTATAAGTTGGAATGTATTCAAGTATTTTCAACATAAATCAGTTACAAGCCCTTAGAATTGTATAATCTATATATAGTAAATAAGAAATACTTAAGGATATCATTTACTAAAATATTTTAAAGTAATAAAATTCTCTTTAAAGGTTGTAAATTTAAAAAGCTTTGAAGGTAGGCGCTTATAATTAATTTTATATTATATATGTATATATATATTATTTATAATAGCAATTTTTCATTGATAAGTTTATAAGGCATAACAAATTATTAAAATTATCTCAAAAAAAAAAAAAATACACAGTTTCTGTGACCCCATACATGTCTTGTTTCAATAAAATGCTAGTATATTATTAGATAATGGCTTTCTTTATAAACTAACAAATTATTTTATAAGTGCCAGACGTATTGCAATTCTAGAAAAAAAATTCGAAGAAATTTAAATTAAAAAAAGCAAGAAAAGGGAGAATTACGCTTCTTTTAAACCTGAGAGCGCTTAAATTATTGTTTCCTATTTAAGCACTGTATATAGTATATCCATTTCAATCTAATCTAATTGTGGATATAATCGTTATATTGCATAATAATAATATACAATACATTTCTTAAAAAAGCAGTTTAACTATCATAAAAAGCAACTACCACTTAATGTGGTACAGTGACCACACACACATAGCAAACAAGAAATTTCTAAATTTCATACCTCTATATTTTATTTGCCTGTTTTTAATTTATATTATAAGTATACTTAGCAGACATTATCTTATTTACTAAATACTATAGTAAAATATTTTTGTATTATTTGGACTTATTAGATACAAAATCATGTAAAGATAAATACTTTAAAAACTTAATTAGGTGTATTGAGAGCACATTTTATATATATAAAAGAAAAGAACCAAATGTTAATGTTGGTTATGTGTGAAACGTTAATACTTAAAAGCAATATAAATAAATAATTAAAATTATAATAATACATGTATATAAATATTAGTGAAATTAAAAGTGTAACGTGAAAAACCGTTTAATGAGCGTAAATAACAATAACAGGTATGATATTAATATGCCATAGGCAAAAATTTTTTGTATTTGCGTAGTAGAAACTAAGCGTTAAACAACAACAGCCCCTGCTTCTGATCGACTCATCGGCAAGTCTGGACAATTTTTCCAAGTATCTGATAGAGGATCATAGCATTCGACTGCACTAATCGTTATATGGGCACGATAGAAGTTAACTTCTTCACAAGGCTAAACGAAAAATAAACACATTAGTAGGAATTCCTTTTCTTTGAAAATATCATATATTTCTTTATATACATAGGTATTATAGAACGTGCATATATTTACCTGATCGCCACCAGCTACGTAAAGTAGGCCATCAGCTGCTGCTACAGCTGGTATAGCACGTGGTACCGACATGGAACAAACAGTTGACCACTTATTTTCATCAAAACTATAACGTTCCACGGAACTAAGCACATCTTGTGCACTACTGTTTCCACCCACCACATACAGAAATCGATCTAAAATGGCTACGCCCATTTGACAACGAGCTGTTTGCATGCGCGCCAATGGTTGCCATTCTTCAGTCACAGGATTATAACTATACGTAAAAATAAAAATTTAGGTAAAGCATTTTAAAAGCATGGCGAACACCTTTACCTTATCAGATCTGGTAAATGCCTACACGATGTTGTGCAACCACCTACAATGTATATTAAACCCTCAAAACTCACCACACCCATGCTAAACCGTGGTTCAGGTAAGCTTCCGATAAATTTCCAAACATTACTCTCAGGGTTATAGGATTCCATAGAACCACCTATATCATCACCAATCCAACCACCGACTGCAAAAAGATTACCACCCATTGTGCATAAACCAAATTCACAACGTGGCGTTATCATTGGCGCTATTGGTGCCCAAACATCATTTTGTGGATCGTAAACTTCGCCATTTGCTAAAATTTGTGAACCTCTCTCACCACCAATCACATAAATTTTACCGTTTAAAGCCGCTACTCCAGGCAGTATACGTCCAATTTCCATTGGTGCTGTTTCAGACCATTCTCGTCGAAATATATCAAATTTAGCAACAGTCTCAAAAATAGAATCGGCGGGATTCCAGGTGCGTGGTGTCTCACGACGTGAACCACCAATTATGTAAATATTCTTTTTTGCCAGTTGACGTGGACAAACGCGTAGGGGTACCAGTTGACCACGTTTCGAGGCAATGTCTCTACAAATGGAACGTAACGCTATTTTTACGGACATGTCACGACAGTCTTTTAAAGCCTGATCAATAACTTTAACCGGTACTAAAGCTAGACGGACGTGCGACAGTATATCAAAAACGAAGCATCTGCGTTGTGTAACATCATGTTTTATCCAACGTAATGCTGCTTGGAAAACTTGTGATTCCGAATCAACTCGTAGTAACTCCGAGGTGAGTAGTTGTGATAGTAATGTTTGTGGTGTATCAAGAAATTCGTCTTCCAGTGTTATCTGAAAAAATTAAGAGATTTAAAATAATTTAATATTAGACATAACAGTATCAAATTGTATTGAATTGAACTAATTAACGAAATATTAACAAAAAATTAGAAATGATAACCATCATCGCGTAACAAGAATTGTTAGTTGTTGTTAGTGTTAGTACTGAATTGTCTTACATCACTTATGGTGATGGCTGAATATTTTCGGATACGGATTATTTGGGTCTCTGGTCATAGGGACATCCAAAGCAACTGTATAGCAGATGAAATAGAAAGACATGGTACGACAGCACAAATTCTTCATGGAAAAGAAAGTGTGGGTATACCACTTCCTTCTTGTCGGCATTGAAAAAAATTATGGACATACCAAATATTTAAAAGAAGATGGTCAACAGTAAGAAAAGATCGGGGGAATTAATCAACCTATCCCGAGCAAATATATTCAAGATAGTGGGAACGATTACGGAACACTACCTGTTGGGAGGACATGTCGTGAGGCTCAATATCAGGACCTCCTTACATTGTAGACATTGCATGGAGGATGAGGAAGAGGAATCAACAATACGCGTTCTGCTACAGTGTCCTGTTTTCACAAGACATAGACTCTCCTACTTAGGGTCACACTTTTTCAATTCACTAAGAGAGCTAGATTCTATTTTCATAGCTCGTGTCAATGACTTTGTAGCCATTGATCCATTAGGTAGCTATGGTGATATTTATAACATCTTTTTTTTATATTCAACAAATTTAAGTTTTAACAAGTTTTACAGCTACTTCATAGCTTTCTTTTCGAAATGGTTATCTTGGCCCTAACGACTTTGCTTGACGAAACCCAAACTATAAAACTTTTGATCTTATTACTAATAGCTTGTAAATAAGCGTTTTAAACATCTTGTACTCAATTTAAGGTAATCAATTATGAATCAAATGAAGAATTCTTTAAGCCAGTTTTAGCAGAAACTCAGAATTGGAAGTATCGGAATTAAGCTGTTACCAGAGATATGACGAAAGATATTAATATTTAATTCATTTTAATATTTATATACATATGTAGTATAAGAAGAACGTTGTTCAGTAATCTTGAATCAGTTGTCAGTTGTTTTACGAGTGTGAAACCTAGTTATTACCTGAGATATGAACAAAGAGATTGGACTAAAATGACGAATATATGCTTAATTTGTGCACATGTATACAGTATAAGAACAACGTGTTTTATTTTTAGCAAAAAAAAAAAAAAACTACTTATTTTCCAAACAACTCAATATATAGATATTCATTATCTTAATTTTCTTGATATAATTCAGATATGACATTGGTTTAAAAGAGATAATGAATGTATGGCTTGTTATTTCCCAGTTACACAATAATTTTTCGGATGCTGGTGTAGTCATGGATATAACCACTACATCATACATAAAGTCAGATGAGCAAAGACTAAACAAAAGGTCATTTCTACTAAAATAATTACAAAAGTGCCACTTAAATATTTGTTATTCTATTATTACTGATATTATTTATAAAAAAAAGTTCTATCATATTTAAACTCATCTATAATTATTATATAAGACCGCCTGAACATATACACGCCCACACTTTCGCCTTTGGTTGTTGTTGTTCGCAAGGATGTAGACAATATGATGGGTTACGATGTGGATAGGTATGTTGGTTCATCATCTCACTTTTTTCTTCAAAAAATATCGCTTCAGGTACACTCTAAAAGGGAGTGGCCATTGCCACATATGTTCGCCATCCAGCCTTCGTTACGCCTATTGCTACAATATCGAAGAAGGGAATTCCAGTATCCTTTTTAGAATGTTTTATCAGACAAAATCCAACACTAAAGACAAATAATGACTAACAGAATAACGAATAACCGATAGATATACAACTATTATTTTTTCACATACTAAGACACACCACAACCGTATCTATATATATATGCTACAAAAGAACAAACACTATTGCATTTATTTAACTAATTCTAGCACGGAATTTATAATTTATGTATAATTACTCTACCATAGCAAAAAATAATTGATCTCCAATGTATACATACCGCTGGAAAATTTGAGTGTACAAAATTCAAAGCGCTCTTAGCCAGTGATTCGCAGCTGTGAGCTTCTGCAAAACGTAAAATACCCAGCGCATTGGAAGCATGCAGTTCGCGACATAGAAACTCACAGCAACCGTCAACAACCTCGTGTAATTGTAACATATCAGCTGCAGCCAGCAATTCCTGTACGTTTGTCTATGAGAAACCAGAGAAATTTTACATATACAAAAGGCAAGCTAATGGAAAGCACATTTACCTGTGTTATTTCACAGCGTCCGGTATAAATAAACTCTAAAAGTATACTCAAAATTTCACCATCAATGGTATGTAATATAACCGACTTCTGCTTGACCTCATTCAGCCCCAGTTCTGGTCGAAACATCGCCTCAAAGTAAGCGCTCGCCGCACTGAGCACTGCTCGATGTGCATTGAAAGTCACTCCACCAGCAACAATTTCAACGTCACAGAAACGTGATTGTTCACGCAGCTGGTTGAGGTTGTTCAGTACCTTGAATGGATAATTGGCATTGCAATAATATGGTAAATTTGTGCGTTGTGTTGGATTATTGAGTGCTGCTCCTTCGCTTGTGGCATCGGAAGCATTCCCATTGCAGCAATTTGCATTAAATTCGTTGTGTGGCGAATAGGTTTTTAACGGCGGCATAGTCATGCGTTGCTACTGCGTCGTGTCAATGTAAAAATGCTGCTCTAAATTTAATCTCTACAAAAGCTACAAACAATGCGTTTGTATTAAATAAAAATTAAATAATAATTAATTAAAATTTTGTTAAGATTTTACAAATATATTATATTTTAATACCTTTTCTTCACTTTCAATTTCATTACAAACGCCTTTTCCGACTTCGTTGCTCAATAAGTGCAACAATCTTATTAACCCTTCTGCTTTTTGCACCACTACCACTTCCACTTCCACCGCCACTACCCATACAATAAACAATGCAGCGAAGCCAAATTAAGCACTGCGTCGTGAACGTATGTTTTTATTTTTATTTTTAATTTGTATTTTGTAATCTACGCTTCAATTAGTTTAAATCAGTTTAATTACCGCAACAATTCACTGTTGTGCCTAAAGCTGGTGCACTGGCGTCTGTCTACTTAAAACTTTATAATTCGAAAGGCAATGGAATTTCATAGAACCGAGAGCAATAAATAATAATATAGGGCCGTGAGACGGAACTTTTAAGTAACTCTTAACACTTTTCTAATTAAAAAACTACTTATATATGCTATTCTTTAGTACTGACAAATAAAAAATCGAATTTAATTTGATAAATTTGTTAATTAAAACCTCTTGTTTGTTATTTGCAAAAAGAAACAGTTGAATAACTTAAACTAATGAACACCCCATTTTGCTGTTGTTTTATGACTTCACTCTGTTTAGTGAGAAAAAATTATGTACAAAGTAAATTCTCACAAGAAAATGCCAGCTGATTTCTTTAAGAGCAACAACAAAGAGTACAATGAAAAAACGGAACCTGCATAAGCAAACATTTTTGTTAGTGTATACAAAGAGCACTGACACTTAGCCAAAGTAGCGATTTTATGCAAAGCATAAATAAAAACAAAATTTTCAACACAGCTGTGAACTGTTTTATTTAAATCATTTACCTTAATGGATGAGTTCAAATTAGTTTCAATAAATATATAAGTATATTATTATTAAAAAAAAAATCGTTATATTTAACCCATTTCAGACCATAGTGTGTTGCACCACACGACCAGCTTTGAATATTTTTTAATATTCAAAGAATATTTTTTAATTTTCAAAGAATATTTTTTAATTTTCAAAGAATATTTTATTTTTTTTAGGTAAAGATAAAGTTAGAGTAATCTTTTAAGTAAGTATTAAACTCTTCTCATTTACTTAAACTTGTTTTTATTTTACTATTTACTATGGAAATTTAACCGTAAAATTCCAAGTCTGAAGTTGCCTGATACTTAATATACTCACCAAAATCAATTGTCATATAAAAATATATAAATATAAATTATTTAAATATATTAGGTCCGTTCAACCAACTATTCATATAATATTATTAATCAAATAAGATATGCAAGAGTATTTACCATCACTGAAATTAAAACATATAATTCTTTCTAATTAGTAGCAAATTATTATTAAGCAACCTCAAAAGAAAGCAAGGTGGTGTAATCGCGGTAAGATCACATGTATTCAATATGTGTGCCAATATGTTGTTTCTCAACAATGTCTCTTCGTTACGCTCGAAATGGGTGGAGTTTCCACTCTTTGATATATGTTCTTTGCTTAATACTGTTAATATCTGTTATTTCAGAAGCACCGCTATTTTTTTAAATACAAAAAAGGTAATAAAATTAATTTACAAACTATTACTTTTACAATTAGTTTTATATTTTTTGTATAAAAAAAATTTTTTTAGTATCATAAATTTTTAGCCGAGATACAGTCAATGAACGATCAGCATCAGCTTTGAGGAGCAAATCTGCAAAGACCGACCCAACTGACTTGGTAGCTGAGTCATTTCAGTATTTATTTTAACAAGAAATAAATGAAGTTCGATGTGCATTCAATGTTTTAGAAAATATACCGACAAATCAAAATTGTGGGCAGCACAAAGCTGTTTCCAACAGTGATGTACACTCCGCATATACGAAACGCCGCTACATTTATGTTACGAGCAAAATGCGTGAATACATAAAAAATCTTAAAATTAAAAAACAGACGCATCAAACATTAAATAAATAGTACCTCTTCAAGTTCAGAAGAGAACTGAACTACTCAGTTCTACTTGATGTAACTACCCAAATAGCCCCAACCACAAGTACACGATATGACATTATTAGTTACAGTGCTGGCGAATTATACAAATCAGACGAAAGCGATCTTGGCAATACTCATTCTTTAGAAACTTCAAACGGGATTGCATCGGTATCAAGACCATCATCTTCAGAAGGTCAACATAACGACAACGTGACGATGCCGTTGTCGACAGAAATTATATTGATTATTTGACGTATAAACAATTAACTAGTGAAAATAAGCGGTTTCAGTTATATAAAGAATCTATCTAAATGAATCTATCTTAACATGTAAATAATAGGGTTACTGGAAGTTTGATAGAAAATTGCTTAGATAACATAACCAAATATTTATTTCTTACAAAAACAATGTAAACTAATATATATATAAACAAATAAAATTCTAAGTTAGTCAGATCAGTCAGTCTATTTTGTGTTTCCAATTTTCTGCCTTTTTCTCAAGAAGGCATCTAATGTAGTTTGCGTTTTTCTTTGGCGCTCTGTTAGAAGTTGTTGATAAGTGGTTAAAGCATCTATAACACCCCGTCTTGATTTTGAATTCCTGTCAAAATTTTGATCATTTTCAACAAATCGGTCCATAATTTCAGTTGTAGTGATCAAACTCCTTTTAACAAACGCCATCGAAAGTTCTTTTTGCTCTTCATCTTAATCACTATTATCAATATTTTTGTTTTCTTTTTGCTCAGTTAATTCCTTGGGCACATTTACCTCATCTAAACCTGTTTATTTCGCTAGTTCCACTACTTCTTCCACTATTTCATCCATATCAACAGAACGTCTAATGTCTTCGCTCTTACTTAAATCTGGCCAAATGTTCTTCCATACTCCTTTAAAAGATCTTTCTGTTATCTCATTCCAAGAAAGATTTACATTTTCTACAGCATGATATTGAAGTTTTTCCAAAATTCTCTTATTGATTGTTTGTCTTCTCCGTCTATTTTTTAAAATATCTGCTTAAATGTTCAGGTTGAAATAAAAGAGCGCTAAACCGAAACAGCGTTAAGCGGGGTCTTGCTGTATATTTATTTAATATTTGTTCAAGTACATATTTTGATAATGAAATGTTTATATTTATTATTCCCGTGTAATCATTATATTATATTTTTTTATATAAACACATAAACATTATATCACAATCATTCCAAAATGTGGAAGAATTTATCATATTTATTTTGAATCCATAGAGAATCCATAGAGAAATAAAAACAAGAGAAGTAAAAAATTTTTTTAATATTAATTGGTATGGTTATTACGATGATCCTTAAGAGAAAATTTCATCTTTCGGATTGAAACTCAAATTATATTCGTTATACCTATACTTTAGAATTTGACGGTTATCCTTAGAGAAGAATTCATTTGTATAGTGAATTGTTCATTAGCTTGGAAACAGGGTGTGGACAAGATGCTTGAACAATCTATTTATGTTTTTTTTTATACTTTGTTTAATTTTATTCAGTTTAAACTTTTTTTATTTTTATTTCCGAAAGAAACATTTTTTTTTGTACTTCACTTCTGCAGTGTTTGGATATTATTATCCGGAAATTAAAATAAAAAAAAAATAAAGTGATTTTATTTATAAAACAAACTCACAACTCTGAACAGAAATATTCTCAACACCTTCAATATCACTCATTAAGTGCGATAGTCCATTGCTCTATCTGTACCTACTTGACTTATTTTAGTTATGTTTAAAGATCTAAACAATAATAAAATACAAATTAATCTATATAACATATTAACAAACGACTAAGAAAAATTAAGTGTCTGCCTATTTTGGTGGGGCATTAAACTAACCATTTTACTAATAGAAGTAAACTTATATTTAGCAACTAAGCCAAGAGCAACAAATGATCAGTAACGAAGCCAAAATGATGATTTCAAAAAAATATCCTCACTTTTGTAAATTTTTTTTATGGAGTCAATAAAATGTTAAAATGTTCACAATTAGCAACTATAAGCGAGCAACTTGTTGTTTTTTACCACACTTAAAAACTACCGAATGTACCTAATATCAAAACATGGTCTTAAAAGCTGTTGACATATTTAGACTCTGTATCCACTCGGAATATTTTTAATATTTACTAATAAAATTTCTTACACATTAGGTTTCAGTTCGAGGTATATTTCGAGGTATAACAGAAATGCTCCAATAGAACATGTGTCGTTTAAAAATTAACATGCAAAGCAAAAACAAAATTCGTTAAAATATGTCCACTTTTCTGAAAGTGATTAATGAATCAGCTACTCGCATTACAATGGTGACAATTCTTAAAACTGAACTACTCCCAATTATTTTTGGAAGAAAATGGAAAATTCCAGTCAAATGACAGAGGAGTTTCTTTATTATTTACAACTGTCGCGATTCTTAATAAGTGAACTTAAATATTTTAAAAAAGTAATTTTTTTTAATTACATTTGTGAAAATAACTAACAGTTCAGTAATTGTGAAGCAGACATTCGTTGAATATTTATTAAGGAATTTATAAGTTCTGTATTATGTTCATAAAAAAATTCAACTCAACTCAAAATTCAACATTCGTTATAATAAGAGCAAAACATAAAAGATAATTACAGGAAAAATAAAACAGTATTAAATACTGCTCATTTAGCATTAACTAGTAATGTTAGAAGTCCGAAAAATATATAAACAAATTTATTAACGATCTTGTATTACCTTCTAAAGAGCTAGAGCTATAAACAATTTTAAATATTTGTTTAATACATCCTCCTTCTCTCTCTTTGTATCCTCCTTCTTCCTCTCTTTTTCGCCATTATTGTGGATAAAGTAATGATACCAAGTTATTTTTAAGCGACCAGAAGTTGTGCTATTGGAGCATTTATGTCAAAAGAATATACCATCTACACTTGCCATTACCATTGACTTACATATGCAAACCAGCCGTAGGAGAGATAGACACTAGATTTATATATTTAATAGCAACCTATGAAAATCGTTATATTTTAAAATATATATTCTAATATTAATTAATATTTCACAAGTATATTTTAATTTACATATCTAGTAATATAATTTTACATTATATATTAAAATCAAAATTATTTAAGTATTTAAAATGTTACCTTTAATTATTATCTATTTATGAAAGAAATATTTTAAAATAATTGTTACAATTTCAATTTTTCTTATAAGATGAAAAACATCGCTTATAATACACTTCAACTGATAATGATTTATTATAATACATTTAGAAAACTTTATTTTTTTAATGTACTTATACGCTGCCCAACCTCGCCCTAACAAACATCAAGTCCACCTCAGGACACACAGGAAGATATACTGACCTACGGTCCGTCATTAATTAAAAGATAAATAAACGATATGAATTCTTGCATAGTTAAAGCCTAGTGTGGGGCAGAGATAAACCTCCTAGCCACTAACTAAAGAAACCACAACAACAACAACAACTTATTCAAAATGCTGGAGATTTTGTTATATTGTAGTAAGCTTAATGTAAATGAAACATTTTGTTTTGTGAATTTCTCAGACAGACTAATCTTTTCTATGCACAAATGAATGGGGATATCTGTTTATAATGTATATTGAAAAAGTTTAATGGAAGATTCAAATACAACTAACTCCATATTTTAGTTTAGTTTAATTAATATTACATTTCAACTGAAATAATAATTGAATTGGTTTTATTATAAATGAAATTACACTAAATTGACTATATTGCAATTTACTAAGTAAATTTCATTAACCATACAAAGAGCTTCCGTGCTTTTTAACTTACTTTAAAATATAGTAAACAAAATTTGACCAAAATTATAGCAAAAATTACGAATGCAACATTGGATATGATCGAAATTTGATATATTTGACACAAAACACATAATGTAAATATAAACAAAAAATCAGGCTAAATGTAAACATAAATCAATAAAAGCTAAGAATTTTTTAAAATATTTCTTTTTTATAAATAAAATATATAATTGATATATAAAAATTAGTTTATATATAAAATATATATTTGATATCATTATACAAAGTCATATATTATTTAATAAAAAAATATTCATTACAGTTAGATATCAGGATAGATAATTATTAAGAGCTCCTTAGATTGTATAGTGCATTTATAATGTTTGTAATTCAACAAAATAATATGTTATTAACATTAAGAAAAAAAAAACAAATGTTATGTTTATTATTAATATAGTTATGGTGTATTTTATTTTTAATTTATTTTATAACTTTATTTATTATCAATATACCATAGTTGTAGTGCATTTTATTTTTAATTTACAAGTTATTGGTGTTATTATTAGTTGGAATAAAATTTACTGAAACATAAATTGTATTTTTTTTATAAATCATTGCACGTTATTTTCTATATGCAACAACTGCTACGTTCATGTTATGAACAATATTACAAACAATATATATTAAATTATTCAAATTTTTTGCGTTTTTTTTAATGTCAGGTGTTTACAATTAAAATGTAAACAAATAAAAGCTCGACAACTACAAATTTTTGACACATAAAAGATTTTTTCCCATTCCTTAAGTAACTTGTGCTGTTGTAAACGACAAAAAGCTCAATGTTACTAAGTAATTTATAAAGAAAGCAGTGGAAACGTAATATTAGTGAAATGTGTTATAAAGATATGTGGCAAACACATTATAGTTACTGCTGTTTCACTATGTATAATATTATAGTTGCTGGTGTAGTTTGCTATATAAAGTCAAATAAAATAACACAATGTGTGATTTGGTTTTACTTCTTTATTTCTCAATCATCATAATACCAGCTATAGATGACCATGCAAACGTCACAAATTATAAATGACACAGTCACAACATTGACCAGCGCAACGCCATCTAGCGTTGCAACTAACCTAATAGTCTCGTGTCCATAAGTATTTAGTGTGTCCTCTCAAAAGCAAGAGGAAAAAAGCATATAATTACGTGTAAAACAATAAATGCTTGCAAAATAATAAACATTTACAACATAAATTTATAAATAGTGTGTCCTCTCAAAAGCAAGAGGAAAAAAGCATATAATTACGTGTAAAACAATAAATGCTTGCAAAATAATAAACATTTACAACATAAATTTAAAAGTATTTTGATAACAAAGTAGTAACACAGAAGTACCACAGATATATGCAACAAACATTTGTCATACTTAAAGCTAACACTTAACAACACTGGATAACACATGTGTACATATGTTTTTTTTCCGGTTCAATCATATGTTTGTTTATTTATGTTGTAACTATTGACAAATTAATTCTAAGGAGGTTTTATAGTTTTAAGAAAAATATAATAAAATACTGACAACAATGTCTCTAAAATTCTTGCTAAAATGCGTACAATTTCAGCGCACTTTTTTAGAGATTAATAAGCGATTGCCAAGCTTCGCTTACAGTTCCACTACGGCTGCGATTAAGAGCGCTGAAAGTTCAGATGTCACAAACTTTCATAATGAGAAACTACAAAAGTATTTAGAAACGTTACGAGAAGAGTTTTACAAATTACGTGTACAGCCCACAAATGATGTGCAAATCCATCAACGAATTGGAAAATTAAATAAGATTGTACATAACTTGGAGCAATATCGTGCCATTAAGAGTAATATGGTCTCAGCGGAAGATATGGCAAAAGAAAAAGACGATGATATGTTAAGCCTTATGAAAGAAGAAAATGAAGTAATTATTATTTAGTGCTATCGGCAATAATAAATATATAATAATGTTCGTTATTTAGGTTTATTCAGATTTATTGAAAAAAGCAGAAGCGCAAATTATGATTGAATTATTAAATTTTACTGATAGTGATACATGCGGTTCTATAATATTTGAAGTAAATGCTGGTGCTGGCGGTCAGGAAGCTATGTTGTTTGCTAACGACTTGTATGAAATGTATATAAATTATCTTGAAAACAATGGCTGGGATTATGATGTGCTAGATCATGTAACAACGGATATTGGAGGTGATGCATTATAACTTCATATTACATACATAAAGTTCGTTTGTGTATTTAAATTTACATTATCATTGCAGTGTAATAGGACCATTTTTTTGTAGAGATCATTGACAAATATTTAAATTATATAAATTTAACTTTAATTTAAATAAGAGAAATTCTTAATAACAGGTTCAATTAGCAAAACAAATAAAAAACAAATTTTAGAGTTTTTTCTTGAAAACCAGCTTAAAGAATCTTTAGTATATAGTTTCACAAAACTTTTAATCTAAATAGAGGAAAATCTTAGATCAACGATAATAATAGTAGTTGCACTAAAATTTTACTTCATATGTAGTGTATATTAACATAATTGGTTTTATAATATAGTAAATTTGTTTCAAATATTTTTGTTCAAACATTATACTATTTTTAGGACTTCGTAATGCTAATGTGATCATTAATAGCAGAGAGGCTTTTAACAATTTACGTTTTGAAGCTGGTGTACATCGCGTCCAAAGAATACCTGCCACAGAAAAAGCAGGACGCATTCACACAAGTACAGTATCTGTTACTGTAATACCTCGACCAGACGATAAAGAAATACAAATATCTGAAAAGGATTTAAAAATTGAAACAAAGCGTGCCAGTGGTGCCGGCGGACAACATGTCAACACTACAGATTCAGCCGTACGCATAGTACATTTGCCAACGGGTCTGAGTGTGGAAAGCCAAACTGAACGTTCTCAATTAAAAAATCGTGAGATTGGTTTAAAACGTCTCCAAGCTATACTTATTAAAAGGCAATATGAAAGTACATTAGCAACCACGCAGGCGACACGAAGAGCACAACAGGGAAATTTAAATCGAAACGAAAAAATTCGAACCTATAACTTTGTGCAAGACAGAGTTACTGACCACCGCATATCCAATGGCACAACCCATAATCTTAGGGAATTTCTTCAAGGAGGAGAACAATTAAATGAATTTATATCTCGTATTGCAATCGACCATCGCAAATATGTGCTAGCTGAAGTCCTCACAAATTGGCAGGAGCCCAAAGAAAAAAACAGCAGTTAAATTTATCGAATTGTAATGTAGTTAAAAATTAATGTAATAACTTGTTATATTTGGTTTTTAAAAAATATAAATTTCTTTTCTATATACCAGACTTTAAATACATATTTACTCTGCAATTTGACCGAAATTACATATCAGGCTCAGCCTCAGCATCAGTTATTGCCATTACGTTTTCAACGTGCTTGCGTACTTGCACATCTATCATAGCAAGGATTTCTCTACAGCCATCCAACGCTTCTTCTAATACTCTTTCAAAATTTTCCACGTGAAATCTTTGTGACATTTCGGCAAATAACACTCTGTTTGAACTGCTAAGCAATGCTACTGTTACTGGTGCTGCACCTGCAGTTATTTCAACATGTGCAATATCGCGTATTATTTCTCCACTCGGAGTAACTGCAGCGGAGCACGCAGTTACATATTCTCTCATATCGACTCCTGCATCAATAAATGCTAACATTGCACAATTCACAGCAGTAGCAATGTGTCCACCATCAATTTGTAACACTTCGATGACAACGTCGAATGTGTAGTTGAGGTATTTTTTATTTATTATTACGGCCATCATTGCTTGTTGTACATAACGTGCTATTTCGTTGGTTTCACAATCTCCGGCACTGTACACTTTTCGGATAGCTTTACAAAAACTTGCTATACTAACTATGCAATTTATTTCAACATCCAAATCAACAGATGAAGTTGCTTTTTTCTCCGAATTTCTGTTAGGGCCATAAACAGCCACAAGTACTTTCGTGCAGCCTTGCTCTAAGTACGCGCTGCCATGAGGCTCTACGAATACGCCTAATTTCGTGCGAAATTGTCGGAATTCAAGTGGTCGGCGGCCATCAATTCGCATACCGAATTCATTTAATAAATCATATACGGTAAAATGTTCCATTTTTTAATAAGTTCAAAAATAAATTTTATCTAAATATATAAAACAAAATTTTAATTCAAATGTACGAATTATTTACAAACTTTCTGACAGTTTTGGCAATAGCTTGTCATTATTTGACAGTTCTTTGACATGAAAAAAATCATTATTTGTGGGTTTTAAATGCACAAGCATGCAGTAATAAAAACGAAGTCCATCTATATTCAAGTTATTCATTTTAAAATAATAAAAAATCATTAAAAAATCAATAAGAATACATAAATAAATTTGTTTTGTACAAATATAAAAAAAATTAATTGTTTTTTGTTTAAATTTTTCTTAATTGCGAAAAGTTAACTTGAAATTTTAATAAAGGCGCCAATATGCAAACTTCGGATGACAACAATAATTCATTTACCAGTAAGTAGCATAAATATAATTAAATTATACAATATAATAGATGAGAATTAATTGTTTTAAAGGATTAATCTTGATAGGAATACGATATTATTATCCAAAATTTGTTTCTTACAACAAATTTTGAATTTATGTGCGAGTTTTCTACTTTGTGTTATAAACAGCATGAGAATAGATTTCATTTGCATTTGTTTAGATAATTTTTTACATAATATATCAAATATATATACATATTTATAAAATTATAATTTAAAATGTACGAACTATTTACAAATTTTCTGACAGTTTTGGCAATAGCTTGTCATTATTTGACAGTTCTTTGACATGAAAAAAAATCATTATTTGTGGATTTTAAATGCACAAGCAAGCAGTAATAAAAACGAAGTACGCCTATATTTAAGTTATTCTTTTTGAAATAGTAAGATATCATTATAAAATCAATAAGAATATATAAATAAAATTTTTTTTGTATAGATATAAAGTATAAAGTAAATTAATTGGTTTAAGTTTAAGTTTTTCATAATTGCAAAAAGTTAAATTGAAATTTTAACAAAGGCGCCAATATGCAAACTGTGGATGACGATAATCACTTATTTACCAGTAAGTCGCAAATATATAATTAAATTGTACAATATAATAGATGAGAATTAAATATTTTAAAGAATTCATTAATCTTGATAATCTTAATCTTGAAAATGATGTTATTATCCAAAATTTGTTGCAACAAATTTTGAATTTATGTGCGAGTCTTGTACTTCGTGTTAAAAATAGCATGAAAAGAAAATCCATATGCATTTGTTTAAATAATCTTATATGTAATATATTAAATAAATATAAATTAAATAAAATTTAAATTTAAAATGTACGAATTATTTACAAACTTTTTGACAGTTTTGGCAATAGCTTTACGTCATTATTTGACAGTTCTTTGACATGAAAAAAAATCATTATTTGTGGATTTTAAATGCACAAGCATGCAGTAATAAAAACGAAGTACGCCTATATTTAAGTTATTCTTTTTGAAATAGTAAGATATCATCACAAAATCAATAAGAATATATAAATAATTTTTTTTTTTGTGTAGATATAAAGTATAAAGTAAACTAATTGGTTTTAGTTTAAGTTTTTCATAATTGCTAAAAGTTAAATTGAAATTTCAACAAAGGCGCCAATATGCAAACTTCGGATGACAATAATTACTCATTTACCAGTAAGTCGCAAATATATAATTAAATTGTACAATATAATAGGTGTAATTTGAATGCTTTAAAGAATTCATTAATCTTGATAATCTTAATCTTGAAAATGATTTATTATACAAAATTTGTTACAACAAATATTAAATAAATATATATGAAATAAAGTTGTAATTTAAAATGTACGAATTATTTACAAACTTTCTGGCAGTTTTGGCAATAGCTTTACGTCATTATTTGACAGTTCTTTGACATGAAAAAAATCATTATTTGTGGGTTTTAAATGCACAAGCATGCAGTAATAAAAACGAAGTAGGTCTATATTCAAGTTATTCATTTTAAAATAATAAAAAATTATTAAAAAATCAATAACAATATATAAACAAATATAGTTTTGTATAAATATAAAATAAATTAATTGTGTTTAGTTTGAGTATTTCTTAATTGCAAAAAGTTAAATTGAAATTTTAACCAAGGCGCCAATATGCAAACTTCGGATGACAATAATTACTCATTTACCAGTAAGTCACAAATATATAATTAAATTGTACAATATAATAGATGAGAATTAAATATTTTAAAGAATTCATTAATCTTGATAATCTTAATCTTGAAAATTATATTATCCAAAATTTGTTTGTAACAGTAGAGTCAGATTTAGTAGATTTAGTAGAGTCAGTTGATAATTGAAAAATATAAGTATAAATTTGTTTTAACAAGTTAAAAAAGTCGCCGCATAATAATAAACAATTAATTAAATATTCTACAATATTTGGTTATATAGAATACTATAAAATATAATAATAAAAGAAATAAAAATTAATTTATAAGGTTTTATTGTTTCGCTTCTGCCTTTTTATTAAAAAAAATTAGTTGAATGTTTTGATGCCATTTTGCGTACGTGTCTTGAAGATAACATGCGCCCATGATTTGCAGAACGAACTCATTCGGTTGAAAATATAGCACTACTCGCGTAGCTAAATATTTAATATTTCTACATATTTACTTTTGTACTATTCTTGAGTATACAAATACAGAAATATATAAGCAAATGTTTTATTTGAAAAATTAGAGCTTTTTTCCGAAAGTTTTTAAATTAAAAATAGTTTTATATATTGTTTTTGGGTTCTATATATTAAGACTCGATTTTTGAAATATTGTAGCCATGATATATACATTTAATTGTGTTGACATTGAACCTACTATTTCTACGATTAAAAAGTATTTATTATTGTTTTAAAATCAATTAGATTGGTACATAAAAGACGTACTAAATTAAAAATGCTACCATAGGCTATATAATTAAATACAGTAAGCATTACTGAAGAATAACTTAAAGCAATGTATTCAGTGTATGCGGAATCTTGTACTTTCAATTTTGTTTCTAATTTTTTTTAATGACATTATAATAATCAGTATGAATAAAAATTGAAAAATTTGGTGTGTTACTTATAAAGTCACCACTCTCTCTCTTAATGTGATGATTACACCACATCAACACAATACGGCCACAATAGTACATTTTATTGCAAGCATGCAACATTATTTTTCAGAATATATCTTGTAATAAATAAAACAAAAAATAAAAAAAATTATTGCATTGACAGAGTTTAAATTTACCAACACATATCAGTATGAACCATTATTAGATTTTGTAAAATTTTCCAACACTCAATTGTCAACAATTGATGCATACAAAAACGTCAACCAGACAAGCAGTTGAGGATCTGCCTTGCTTTTTGAAAGATAAGCAGTAGCATATACTTAAAATTTATTCTCTGCTTGACATTACTAGTACCTTCAATCGGTAAATATTTTAATAGCGGGAGATAAAGTAGTTCGGTGCAAGGTGCAGAGATAAAGGAGTTTGTGTTTAAAATATCTTAACGCATTTAATTAAAAATAAACTGTTAAAGCTAAACAAAAAGTGTAATTACAAATCTGATAATATAAAATTTTAATTGAGAGCTAAAATTTTTCTCTGGAATTTTATGTTTACAAACTGAGAGAAGCTGCAATAAATTTTGACAACTGTCAAAATTTTTTTGTTATAGTCTTAATGGCGGTGCATATATATTAGAAAAATAAAGGTTTTTGATTGTGAAATGAAATAAATACACGCCAATATATTAATAAGTATTTATTAAATTAGAAGCTTTAACGAGCTAGTTCAAGAAAATACAAAAATGTCAAACACAGCTGCTGGTAAGAATTTTGCATTCTTAGCGTTGTTAGTATATTTTTCTTTAATTAAATTCAGTTAATAGTACATGTAATTTTTTATTTACTATATATTTTAAAGTAAATAACTAATATTTACTATTTTTCAGGAATGTGGGTTAATTTCTTTAACGCAGCTGGCGTACCTTCGCCGGCAGCCGCTTCCTATGCTCACATTTTCGTGGAAAACAGAATTCAAATGGATATGCTTGATGATTTAAATAAGGAACATTTGCGCGAAATGGGAATTCTTCTCATGGGCGACATAATTGCAATATTAAGGTAATTTCAATGACACAATTTATATGTGTAAGATTCGAGATCATTTGGGCAATGGAACGTGGACTAAAAATTCTTAAGTTTTGCTAAGTCTGTTTTGGGTTGAGTCATTGTCTCCTAATCAACAACTGTTATTTTGGAATACTGAAATGATGTTAGCAAAACAAATGTTATGATAAAATAATGACCATTAAAATGTCTCATATTGCATGTTTATCTGTACTTGTCAGTCGAACGCTCCTAACGGTGACTGTGTTTTATGCATTGTGCTTAAATGTTCACATAAACAAAAGTATGAACAAACAACAGACATATTTTTGCTTTAAAATAACTTATAAAACATTTGTGAAATCTTATACGCAATTGCATTTTTTCACTTTATCTGTGTATATGTCTATTGAAAGTTGCTATACTTACCAATAGGTATGACTATGCTATATATATATTCGTTGGCAAATATGTTTATATATAACAAAAAAAGGGGTCGTTGTTTTGAGTTGTGATATATGTTTGTCTATTTATTTATTTATTGTCTTTTCATAACTAAGATTTAAGTTAACAAAAGAGTTAATATGTCTTTTAAGTCCACTTCCACCGTACATTATAGTTCTTAGGCGCGACCAGGACTGCAAGCTGAAACCAATTGTCTTTAGATAACCAAGCACTTCTCGGTTCTTCCAATGCGGATTACAACAAAAACAACAACCATATATGCTAATTAAATATAACTATTGTTATTGTTGTAACTATATATAACTTGTTGTTGTAAGCTGAAGGATTCTTTTCTGGTTTTGTTTTTTGTTGGGAGGGGCGAGTGCCATTATGTTGTATAATCATGAATGTTTTAAATTTTGAAATTACGATTTTTATTCATTTATTTTATTTGCATTTTTAATTCTGTTACGAAAAATGAGTAAAATTCTTAAATAAATTTAAAATATCTTTCCCGTCGTATTATAAATGTTTGGATAATAGAAAAAACTTTCCACGATCACTTAAATCCAGTGAAAACCGGTCACCTAGAGATACTAACAATGAATGTAAATATCATCTGACTGAATTCATGTTAAGGTGCATATTTAAAGGCACTTTTGAGAAGCTAACAAAAATAAATTATAATATAGACTTCATATTTATTAATGTTGTTAGTTTGTATATCATTATGCTTCACGACTATCTTTCCGTTTTGTCCATCTAATATTTTAATTAATAAGTTTAATACGTTGTTTATTGCTTTATTTGGTGGTATAGTATAGTTATATCTGGTGGTATATGTTATAGTATATACCAATCTTAGATAACCTTAGGATACTTCTGCAAATATGTAAATTCAGAGAACAAAAAACATTCGTATTTATTTATTTATAAATTTATATATTTATATTTTTTTAATTTTTTTAATTTTTTGTTTTCATTTTGAAGACACTCCAAGAATGTGACTGAAGAGAGAGCCCGCAAAAAGGTGATGAATACAGAGGATTTTGATTTGGTTAAACCAACTTTAAAAATATCTACTAAAAATGGTACGTATAAGCATTAATATGATATGTAGTATATATGATATAAATATATTACTATAACTAATATAATATCTTATTGTGCTTTTCTAGATAAGCCCACTGTCAGTTCCACAGTAACTTGTGAGAAATTAATTAGTGTTGGGAATGGAAACAGCACTAGAGAGAGTAATACTAGCGGTACCATTAACAGTGGTGTTATATCTAAAGTATCGTCTGAACGTAACATTGTAATGAATGAAAAGTCGTCCACACGTCGTTTGGTTGTTGCTGATACGAAAGGTAAATATGAAGTACTCGATGTAAGGACAGTTTCAGTAACGAGTCCCGATTAACCACAATACGAATAATGTATATTTTATATATTTTCGATTTTATTATTTTTTATATATTTTAACGCATATAGAGTTTATACGTTTATAGCTTAGATTCAAGACTATCATAACTGTTTTCAGTTATTGTAACGAACATGCAACCACAGATTACAGAATAACATTGAAACATCAATATTGAAAATTTGTGGATTAATAATAATTAATTATGATCATATTCGCTTATCTATGAGATTCAGTCATATTTCTTTGTTAATCTTGAAGTTAAGGTGCTTTAACATTCAAGTTAACTATTCCAATTGCTATGCCGGTCCTTACTGTTACAACTCTAATAACAGCATGTTTGTGCAATAATTAAAATATGTGTTTATATAAAAATTATATGTTAAAATATATATATTTATATTTAAATAATAAGAATATATATTATTCAATATCATGTATATTATATTTATATTCTATATATGTATGATATATATATACATATATATATATATATATGTATATAATATTTATATTAAATATATATATATACGATATTTATAGTAGTATTATTAGCTTTATTTTTACTTCATTTTAAATTTGTTGTATTACATAAAAATTAATAACAATTATATTATATATATAAAGCTTAGCCATAGCTGGCTTTTTAGCCGTCTGCCGGATATGATATTTATATTATATATATGTATATATATGTATATATGATATATATAGATATATATGATATTTATATTATATATATTTACGATGTATATATTTACGATGTATATATTATATATATATTATATATATATTATATATATATTATATATATATTATATATAATATATATATAATTATATATATATTATATATATATTATATATATATTATATATATATTATATATATACTGCATATTTACAATTTTAGTAACATGTTTATTTTTCTTTAAACCCTGTATTTTAAGGGTTTATTTAAACTTTTGTCCCTGAGTGTATATCTATATTAAATATATATTTGCTGATTTTATTTATATAATAATAGATAATATATGAAAATGTGATATAAGTTAATATAATAAATATTGCTTTTTTTTTTGTTATTATACATTTATAAATGAGTTTATTGTATATCTAGCCAGCTACAATTATTGCACTATAACTTCATTCAATAACTAGGTTAAGTTCATTTAAATTGAGTATGGTCAGTTATAACTTAATTAAGGTAGGTCAGCAGATTTGGCCTATCAATTGGTTATTGTATATTAACAATGTTACATTTAAATTTTGTTTTTATATCTTGGTAAATAAAAAAACTTTAGTTTTATGAGCTTATTAAACGGTCATTGAAATCGTAAGTGTAAATAAAGCTTTCAAATATATATAAATATGTATTAATTTTTTTATTGTATTCATATGCAATTTTTGAATTATAATTACACATTAATGAATTCATTTATTAAAAGTAATTTAGTTTGTTTAAAATGAGAAGAAAATACATCAATTTACATACATATATAGTGGAAACACTTCAAACGTATGCTCTATTGAATCAACAATTTTTCCAAAGCCGAATTTTCTTTATCTTTAATTATACAACCTAAATTCTCTTAGTCTGACACCTAACTTCAAAGTATAAAAATTGGATGGCGATGAGTATCTGCTCAACAGAGTTTTCACTGTATACGTTTGCTGTATGATTGTTCTACATAATAAAAAATGTGTGAAATAAGTGCTTTCCAGTAGTATTTTTAGAGAAAATTCATTAAAAATTTTCTTTATTTAATGTTTATTTTTTTAGTTTATATTATTAATGTTTTTTATATATATTAATATATTTCAGTATATTCTGATGAAATAACAGTTGGTCAAGGTAGCGTTTTTGACCGCATATCAAATAAAGCTAAAACTCCTAAGCCACCAGAAAATGAGAATGTTCGTATTACAATGAGCGGACCCGGTGCAAAACCTACAAGCACATCAATATTTTCACGCTTAGGTAAAAAGTCAACAGATGAACCCTCCACAGTGACAAAGCACTTAAAGCCAATCCTAAAAAACTCCCAGAAGAAGGTAAAGACATAAAAATATTTTTTTTATTTTATTTATATTAATAATTAAAATTTTATTTCTTTTGACAGAGCTTGTCATCAATAGTTAAGGCTAAAACTATAACAAATCCAACTTCTCAAAATATGTACGTTGTTAGAACAGTACCTGTAAAGCGGGATAGCGATGATGATTATAATAATGAAGATGCAATGGACACGGATTCTGTTGGTAGTAGTGAAAAAATTGTTAAATTTGCAGAAACTGCAGAAGTCCGCGAAATATATTCTCCGCGTCGTAAACCTAAGCGTGGAGGTGTCAACAATAATACTGAAATAGACTTGGGCTACGGATCTGGAATCCGCAGCAGCATTAAATCGCGTCTTGGGATGAGTAAGTTTATTATTTTCATCATTGTTAATATTATTTTTAATATTATTAGTATTATTATTAATATTATTAGTATTATTATTAATATTAATATTATTATTATGAATTTTATCATTATTAATATTATTATTATTAATGTTATTATTATTAATATTATCTTTATTAATATTATTATTATTAATATTATTATTATTTTTATTAATATTATCGTTATTAATGTTATTAAAATTATTTCTATTATTAATATTATTATTAATATTATTATTAGTAATATTATTATTATTATTCTCTATTTATATTTATTGTCATTAATCAAGATAAATTTAAGTTAATTATAGGTAAGAATAGAATATTGTTTTATATCTTCAATACTCAAAATTACTTTATAAAGCAGAAAGTGTAGTAAATGGTATATACTAAAGTCTTAAATATTAAATCTTACGTCTTAAATAAATATTAAATATTCGGGCTGTTCATATTTTGATGCTTGAATACAAGGTTTGATTATTTGTTGCTATATCTATTTATATAGAATAAAACAAAAATCTTACGGTGCTTAAGGCGTGTTTCAACTGCTTGAGCAGCTAGAATTTTGAATATCCAAATGTGTGAATCTAAGTAAACTATACATAAAGTCCTCTTGGTGTATTTGGTGTTTTTAAATGTTTTCTGATATCTGTAGTTAAATTTGTAATTGGAAAATTTATTTGTTATCCTGTACTATCATTCTGTAATAAGTATGGGATTTTAAATAAGTGGTATTGTAATGTTGGTGTTAATGGATTAGTTTAGGTTACGTTGATTTGACAGACTATAATGGAATATAACGACAGTCAGTTATTGTAGTTAGCGACTGTCAGTTGATCGCGCGTTCATGCTGCTTTGATGTGAATTAAGTTATCTATTAATCTATAAAATAAAAACGTTCTCTGAAGTATTATTGTTAAATAATTCTCAATATTAATTTATTTTTAATGACATAATGTTCGTTAGTTTGTTAAAATATTTTATAGAATTAAAAATATAAATATAAATTTATATAAATATTTAAAAGTATATATATAAATAAATAACGTATGTTTTTGTTTTTGTTTTCCTTATAGATGGCAGACTTCATAGTGCTAAGAAATCATATAATTTAAAAGCTTCGACAACAAGACGCCTTAGCCCTATAAGTTCAAAAACCGTTAGATTGAAGTCTGATGAAATATTACTAAATAAAGATACATCTGTGCTAAGCCGTTTGGGTTCAAAGACTTCTGTTGATAATCACGCAATGTCCTCGCTATCTCATCGTATTGGTAAAGTTAGTTTGTCTTCACAAACTTCTCCACCGCAAGGCCAAAAATCAGGGGATAGTTCAAGCTCGCGGCAAGAACCAAAACCATCGGTTTTCGATCGTTTAGGTTTTCATTAAAATTAAGGTTTTCTAAATTTAATTAAATTAAACTAAAACAAAAACAAAAACAAAAGCAAAAAAAAAAAATAATGTATGCAAAAATGTTTATCGATTTCATGATCATTAAGAAAATCTTATGTTAATTTTGATTTTTAAGTCTCAATGTGTGCAATCTTGCAATAGTTGGCAGTTTGTTCAGCTTGCAATATTGACAATATAATTTTCATACCACATTAAAAATAAGCCTAGCGTTTTTGTTATTGTCTTAATGATTATTTAAGTCATTTTGTTAAAAGTTTTACACACGAGTTTGTAAGAAAAACTTTATCGTTTAATTATTTTTGCATATCATTATTTTGCATATAAAAATTGATGAAAACTTCGTTTTTAAAAAACGGTTACACAAATTCATTTTTAATTTTTTTTAAATATTTAATTTAATTCAAAATATTTAATTTAATTTAAAATATTTAATTTAAACAATTTCTTTTAAACATTTAATTTAATTTAACTTTTTTGGCAAGACGTACTACATTGTGAACACGCGTTGTATTGTGTCATTTTTTATAAATGATACATTCAATTAATTCTCTTTTTTTTGTTTTTGTTCTTATAATATCATATATATACCTTATGACCCATAGTTCCTTAAAATCTGATTGTTGTTGTAATTTGAGCTGTTGATGGTTACATATTAAATTATGTAACTCAGCCACAATTTGTACTTCCAATATGAAGTCTATAAACATAATATAAAAATAAAATAAAAATAAAATTAATATATTTGATAAAATAAAATATATAATAAAATAAAAAAATATAATATTTAATAAAATAAAATACTTGCTAAAAATTAAATATTTAATAAATAAAAAAGTTGAATATTTAGTAAAATGAAAAAACAAAAAAAATATTTAACTAATTTAAAAAAATAAAGTATTTAATACCAAAAATATTTAAATAAAATAAGATATTTGATAAAATAAAAACATAAAATATAATAATAATATAATAAAATATAATAATATAATAAAATATAATAATATAATAAAATATTCAATAATATATCGATATACAATTTTTAATAAAAAAAATGAAATATATAGTAAAATAAAAAAAACAAAATATTTAATAAAATAAAAATAATAAAATATTTGATATAATAAAAAAAATAAAATATTTAATAAAATAAAAAAATAAATTATTTAATAATTGAAAATGTAAAGTATTTAGTAAAATAAAAAAAAATAAAAAAAAAAAACTAATAAAAAAAATTAAATATTTGATACAAAAAAAAATTAAATATAATAAGAAAATAAGATATTTAATAAAATAAAAATATTTAATAAAATATCAATATAAAATATTTAATGAAATATATAATAAAAAAATAAAATATTTAATGAAATATATAATAAAAAAATAAAATATTTAATGAAATATATAATAAAAAAATAAAATATTTAATAATATAATAAATAAAATATTTAATAAGGTAATTAATAAGTTGTTTATAATATATAATTAAAGATATATATAATATATAAAAATATATATAATATATTAAAATATATATAATATATAAAAATATATATAATTAAAGAATTTATCTCTTTAAAAGTAGAATTGTAAAGAAAACACAATATTTTTTCTAACGGAGAAACGACTTTTTTAATTTGTAAAATTAAATTTAATAACTTTTTATTTATAATATAAAATTATTATACAATTAAAATTTTACTCGATATATTAAAAAATAAATGCAAAATAAAGCAGTCGATTTGTTGTCTAAAAATAAAAATTAATTACGTTCTATTGGAAATATAAAAACAAAAATATTAATGTTAAATAATGGGAATGATATAGTGAATATAAGTGTAAATCTATAGTGGTCATAAGGTACTAAATAAATTTAATTGATTACGTCTTGCTTGCCTCATTTAAAAGATATTATTTTTAAAAATAAAAGAAATGTTCTACTTTAAAAACTTTAATTACAATTTCATGTGTAAAACTTCAGTTTCATTATTAAAAGCATGAAACATGTATATTTTTTCTACAAATTATATGAAATTTAAGAAATAAATTAAATGTAAAATAATTAATAGTTTTTTTTTACTTTTACCACTTAATTTTAATTTGTATATATGACTTTTTTGTAACTATAAAACAAAATTGTGAACCTACACAACTGCTGTCGAATCTGTAAAGCCACATCGTCACCCATAAAGCCGGAACCAATAATGGATGACAAGACAAATGCATAACTTAAAATGGGTTATGTGTGTGCATATGTGGCGTGCTAATTGAAATTAGCATAGGCCAAGGTTCCACCTGACGGTGTCATCAAATAATAGAACCAGGGACCGTAACAGTTATCGCAAAAAAAAAATCACCTTATAACTATTATTATTCGCATTTTAAAATAAAACTTAAAAAAATAATAAATAAATTTGCTTTATATTATATATATCAAAAATAATTATTTTATGTGCCTTTTATTTTTTCGCGCAGAAATAATTCTTAAAACTCTGCTTTTTATTTTAAAACGCACAAATAACTGGTATTATTGCCTTTTAAATATAAAAATCATGAATAACTCGCACTGGCCTCGTAACTATTTACCTGCACAAACTCTTTAATACATTTTGTATTAAATTACAAATTACTTTACATGAAAAATGCATTTTATATTTTCGTTTTAAAAATAAAAAAAAAATGTGAGTTATTCATGATATTTATAATTATAACGCAAAAATAATAGTTATTTGTGCGTTTTAAAATAAAAAGTAGAATATTAAGAGTTATTTCCGCGCAAAAAAATAAAAGTCACATAAAATAAATATTTTTAATGAATATAATATTTTTAATGAATATAAATAAAACAAATTTAATTATTATATTTTTTTTATTTTAAAATTATGAGCGTTTTAAAAAAGCATGCATAATAGTTAGGATAAAAGTTGTTAGAATAATAACTATATTTTTTTTTGTTTTTGCGGAGAGGAGGTTTAAAAATGCCTAACGCATCGTCACTAAGTCGTCACAATAGTGGTATGCCAGACCTTTTCTATCCTGAAACTTTATCGGGAATACTTTAGGATAGGGTCCGGTCCCTATGTTGGTTTTCCATTATTATTAATAAAATATTGTACCCTGTCTGAATCCTCGTACGAACGAAACAACGTATGATGTTATCCTACTGAACCGTGTTAGTTTTGCAGGAATATCGCGCTCAGACATTGTGACGTGAGCACGATTCGGTATAAGGATATCGAAAGCTGCTTTATAATCGATGAAAAAATATGGGTGACGATGTGATGGGTTCTTTCCAAGATTTGTCGCACTGCAAATATCAGATCAAAGGTGGAGCGACTAGGTCGAAAAACGCACTGATAAGAGTAGTTGCGTGCTTCATATCAGTTATGACTAGGTGGTGGAATTTCAACTCTATTATTTTCGATTACGGGCACTAAGTGCACTTATTCCGAATTGTTTTGAGAGAATCTGCCAGTAATGTCAGATATCGAATACGTGAAAAGCAAAATGCTACTAGTACCGAACAAGAAAATCAGTGGATGAGTTAAAATTTAACCAAATTACCAGAAAGTAGCATTTTAAAGTGAAGACATTCAATAACGACTCATTTAAACAGCTAAATCATATATTATCCAGTAAGCTATAACGCTCCAACAGAAATCAATGAAAACTAATGGACAAAGACAAGTACTCAGATGAAATCTGATGCAGATGAGGCAGATGAAATTTCGTTTGGAAGGTTCGAAAAAGTAAGAAACATTTTTACTATTAATTATTATAGGCGGGGTCAAGATGGTTAGATACAAAGGAAGAGAAAGCTGAAAGTTGCAATTATTTTAACTTCCATATGTTTTTTTATTATATTTTAAATTACTTTAATTCCATCAAAGTTATTTTCGTATAGAATCATATTTTGTTAAAGGAAAGCAGAATTTCGAATTCTGTTTTTATGAATTGTTTACAGAATATAATAGTGTATTTTAGATTAGTCATAGAGGTTTCATGTAGTACAATATATTGCAGAAAGTGAGAAAAAATAATAAACATAATTATTATTATGTTGAGGCTAGTTGAGTCAGTGTACTTGAGCACTTTTACTTTCTGCTAACTGTGAGATTTCTTCATAACCTCTCTTTACGTCTTGACTGGATTATTGTGTATCACTTCATCAGACTAAGCAATAACTGATATATTGAGATACAAGTAGGTTTCTTACCATTATTATCAGTCATGAAAAGCTTAAAACAGCTTACACGATTAAAATATGAAATGGCTTTAATTTAATTACTGACAGGTTTGACATTATAATTAAAATCGTTATCAACTATTAAAGATTGAGTCATCAATTTATCTTAGTAATACCCAGTCGTCTTAGAAGACATTGTCTTCGAGACAGTTTTTTATACTGCGCCCGTATGATTAAGCAAATTTGCAAAACAACTGCTCAAAACATGAATGTAAATAGTCTCTATTATACATAGGTACTCTCTTCAACCTCTTTAACCTATGTCGCTCATCTATTATTATAATCAGTGCCAACTTTGAATGAATTGAATAAGTATTTTGTGAGATAAAATTTTCTATTCCATTCACATTTCTTTATTATCTATTTATTTTATATTTATCTAAATATAAAGTATAAAATTTGTATAGAAAATATAAATAACAAAAAAATAATTACATACAAAGTTGTTTCTAGTTATTTAAAGAGAAGCAAAATTTACAATTTAAAGAGCATAAAAAAAGAGAGTAAGCAAGAAAAGGGTAAAAAATAAAATATGGTAAGTAGCAGCGCTAAGAGCGCACAACTTTCAATCGAATGCGTTCGCTATGCATTCGACATGGAAGCATCCAGTCTTCGAGACATGTACGCAAAATGTCTTTGAAGACATTTGACTATTTTGTTCAAGAATGTCTTCGAAGAATACCTTCAGGCATGTATTCATGGTTTCGATGACGGATCGATCCGTTTTCTACCGAATACATAAGAGCAATTTTAGGTGTATTAATACTAATACGGAAATTCCGAAAAAAAATATGTTTACTGAACTGTTCAAACGGTTTGAAACACAAATGGAGTCTATGTGGTTCTGTGTTGTATTTCCCAGATTCTAATTACTCGTTATGAGACTAATGACTTTTTAGGAGGACATATTTGCAATCGAATGGGTTGTAAGGAGATACTATAATAGTGGCATTATTATATATGTTTGGCACATGTTTGAAACTTAGTTCATTAGAGATTTCTCAATAACAAAAAATACGTCATGCTTGAGAAGGAAGGCACTTCCTTTATAAAACCCAAATGTTCTTAGGAATATCACTTCTACTATTCCATTAGTTTTCAGCAATGTTGAATAATAAAT